CAGCCTGACTCTGATCTGTGCCTTGCGTCATTAGGCGTGGGTAACATTCCATATTGCTAAGCGTTTATTAACAAACACATCGACGTAGACCTGAGAGATTAAATTGCACAGAAAGTGAAATAGTCTATTTATTTGTACATGAGTTGGAGATTTTGACCATCTCTTAACTCTCATACTCGTGAAGCACGTATCCAGAAGGGCTAGTAACCTAACCTAACCATGCAATAGGTAAAAAAAAAAGCAACATTTTGTAGAGTGCATCCCAAGAAGCCTATTGCAAACTCGACGCGGGAAATCCTGATTTGAAAGGGCCAGGACACACATTTTTCGAGCAACGCCAGACGGTAATGTGTCGTGAGTAGCATTTGCCTTGATTTCTTCATAACATAATTTCAAAATTCTCAATTTTTTGTGTTAAACTAGCTGGTACTTGGTAAATCCTTATCAAGCAATAGAACATTTATGAGTTTTTGTCTATGTGTCATAGAACGTACACGCCGTATAAAACCGTTATCTTTTCCCAGTGTACTGTAGTATATAGAAGGGATAATTAATAGAGGAATGATAGAAATAGCAGTAGTATTCTGAAATGTAAATCTATACCTAAAAAGAAGTTAACCGTAAAGAAAATTCGCCATAAATGTTCCTTTCCTTGTTATCAAAATCTAGGATCTTCAAGAAGTGAATTATTAGTATAGGTGACTTCTGGACCTCATAGGTTCCCTGCACAAGACAATAAGGTGTGGAGTTCCAGTCGACGTATGTCAGATACATAGATGTATCTCAGATTTACCAATTATAAAAATACGAAGATATTTGGATATATGTAGAAGAAGGTGGCAAATTGTGTCGCTAACAAATTCTATCGTAGGAAAAATTATTTAGTGACTGAAATGTTTGTTTCTTGCACGGTCTCGATTGTTGTTTTTCCCTGCAAGTATCGGTCGAAATCATTAAATTGAACAATTAAAGAATAGAGCGAAGATGCTCATTTATTAGATTAGGTAGGAAAAGAGAAGATTTCTGCACGAAGTGTGAAGGGGAAGACATTTTATGAATATATCCGTCGCGCCCTGCTACGCCCTCCAGCCCTTGCCTCCACCGGCACCGCAGAAAAAAAAGCAAAAAAGAGATGCTGTCAGAAAGAAAGATCTGTAGGTCATCCCTACAAGTTAAATCCTTTCGTGGACTCCACCTCCCCCGATGCCCGGTAGGTCGTAGCGGGTCAATACTCAATTAAAACTCTCCACGTTTTCAAGAGCGCTCTACGTCCCCTCCAAGTGGTCTGAGAGTGGTTCACAATCGGAACATAACGTTAAGAACGTATCTCTCTGAATGTTCTGATATTATTAATGTTCTCTGAAATATTATAAAATCATATTTTCTGATATTGTGAACTTCATACTATCTGATATTGTTTGGAAAGATCATGAAACTATCAATAAATTATTTGATTTTGTGAGAAGTTTCGTTTTCTCCTTACATTTTGTAACTTTTATGATATAATAAGGATATAATAAAATTATTATTATATTTATTATTCTGTATGTTAAGTCGCTTCCTTTTTTTGAGGTATTTATGGCCCACTTGGGCCTTAACACAATGCATTTAATTATCTACGAGTGTTATTCTGCTTCTCCTACGCTAAGGGTTCCCTGTTTGGCGCTCAAGAGATCTTCCCTGGTGCACTCTGCGGAGTGTATCACTCGAGGCCTTAAGTCCTTCGCGGACAATAAATTCGCCATATTTTTAGTTAGTCTTGAAGGGTTATTTTATTCCATAATATTGTGACGATTCACATCTCTGACGCGAATTTTATTTATTTAATCAACAGCTGAGGTCATTAAGACCCATGAATTATGATGTAGGGGATGACAATAATGGTGATAGGGGAAGGAGAGGCAAGGAAACGGAAGAACTTCGAGAAAATCTGTCGAGGCCTCCAATTGTCCTCCGTAAATAGCTGGATATCAATGTCAGGCCTAGCAGTGGAAGGTTTGTGGATTAACCATCACGCCAGGAGCCCCCCAGACCCCGCCCGAATGAATCGGCCGTTTCGAAGGGTCAGCCACTTCTCTGCTCTGGTGGGGTTTATTTTTAACGAGCTGTGAGTAGTTGGCTTTACATTTTTGGTCCATATTTCGGTGGATTCACGACGAGGCGGCGATGCCAATGGCCCGCGCCGCCCGCGAGCGCGCTAGATCGCTCCGCCTTCCGACGCCCGGCCCCCGCGCCGGCGGCGTAGCGCAGCGCTGCCAGGGGTCGACGACCTCCTTCGCTCGCGCACCTCGCCCACTCGCCCACTCGCCCGCCCACCCGCTCTGGCCGCCACCTCCCTCCCCCCGCGCGCCTTCTGGTGCGGCGGACTCCCCTGCACCACTAGCCTTCAGTGGTTTGCGAACACCCTCCCCCCCTCGGTCGTCCGCGGTGGCCCCGTAATTGGCCAATTGTGGAGTTACTCTCCCGCATGCTCCGCTCGCGATTTAGTTCTGCCTCTCCGGATTTTGACACTACATTAGCGGCGTGGCTAGGTTCACGGAGGGCCCGGTGCACTAGATCCATATGTGGTCATTAACGGTGATCGCCAAACGTAAAATCACCACTTATAATCTTATTTATGTAAGTAGGTATTATATTATAACAGCTTACGTTTTAATAGTTTAAGAACGAAATTTTGAGATGTTCACAGAGCCACACACTACAAAACTCCTATCTCTCAAATGCTATCCCGCCAGTTATTTTCGAACTAATCCTCCCATATGCTAAAACGGCCATAATAAATAACCATAATTAAAAAATTAATTGTAGAATATTTTGTTACGAATTATTTCTGAACAGAAAGTCGACCTTTGTGGGGTCGGGGCGGGAGTCCTTATTCGGGGTCCATGTCTTCGCGGGCTGCGGTGCGCTGCACCGGTTGTACCAGCCTAGCTACGCCCCTGCACTATACAACCCGAAACAGGTATTCCTTCTGAGGAACCTTGTCCAGTCTGATACGTTGCGGTTTCACTTTCACCTATTCTTGAAATACTGCGTCCCGCACCTATTACACGTTATTTAAAATACCACATTGTTCGCCTCTCCGCTCCGACATAAGACTTTTCCTCATCTCTCCGAACGTTAGAACTCTCTTCATAATTCATTTTCTAAACAATGGTATTAAATCCATTTTCGAAGCTGTTGATTCATTCGAGAACTTTCTACCGAACAAAACCCACGATCGAGACGAGGGTTCTACGCTCAAAAGGATTAGTATTGCACTATTTTTATTGGAATTAAATTAGCGGTTAAAGAGCAAAACCATGAAAATAAAAACTTGAATTTACAATCATGCGTAACATTAAAAAAACAAGAGGGGACACAACAGGACACCTCATCTACTGCAAAACTGCAAAGACTGCAAAACTTGTATAGAATCTACTCTTCCGCACAAGAAACTAAAATAAACACGCAAAAATAATTAATATTAAAAATATGTAATGATTTGTTTATTTATTTAAACGTCAAAAATAGCGAAACAAATATACGTCACTAATGGTCGGACGAAGTTCGTTTCGATCTTAAACTATTAAACTAATTACTGTCCAACAGCGCAACATAGGACCATCACAGCCTGTGCTGAACGGAACAAGGGAAACTGTACGAGAAACCTGATCAGATAGAGGGCATCGACCCAAGAGCTAATTACAATGCTGTACTTATTACATGCAAATTCCGCCTTCTAGTATTGTGCAGTTCAAAACTTAAATAATGCATTAATAGCATTATTAAAATAAATAATATTTTCTATACAGTATAGGCACTAATTTCAAAGAAACAGTAGGCAATATATAGAAATATATGCAGCGGAAAATATTTTACTTGGCACTCCAACTCGTCAAATGAGTTTAATTAATGTCAGCAGTGTGTTGTAAAAAAACGTACCATGGCAATATGCAAATTAATTGTAGTGTACTAACATTTAATGAATATGATTCCATGACGTATATTATAATTATAGATAATCGCATTCCATGAAAGTATGTTCCCACTCATGAGTACGCCAGGTATGACTAAAACTACTGAATCGTAAATGAAGAAGCAAGAGAGTGGTAGAATTTTGAGACAAGTAAAATAGTGACTTGTAGAAATCGCAGAATTCATCAACTTAATGTAAGAATCTTTCCAAACATCACGTAATATTATAATCAAAACTACGCTTCGTAAACCGTTTCCTTTTACTTTTGCCGCTTTCAGCTCGAAACCTAAATCAGCTTTCAAACTTGTGTCCATTCTCTTATCTCATTTTCGCAGAATTTCACTTTCTAACGATAAAAACCTTCGCTTTCTACCTCTGCTTAAGGTCTCGTTAAATCACGAGAAATGCTGAACTTGGACCCCTCATATGAGAAATTATAGTTCCAGTTCTTAAATCCCACGCAGATTTTTTTGCTTATTTTACTTAGTTCAATCCAAAGAAAACTTAAATAGAAACAATGCGAATATAATCGAAAAAAATAATTTGAGCTCAAGTAAAAATGCGCATAGTGTAATCTTTCGTTCGTATGTCACAACTTACTGGGATTAGATTACACATCATTTTGATTTACGATTGGAATTACCTTCCGATCTTGCCCGAATGCCTTCACAGCTGCCATCTATTGACGCCTGAGGAACCTATCAAGAACTCCTGCGGCCACTGCCGCTTACTTGGGTCTTCTTCCCAATAAAACACACGAGGAAAATTTCAACTAACATTTCTCTCCTTTGCATTTCGATAAGACCACGAACTATCAAATGTTGTGCAGTGCATTCTTTTTATCAATATGAAACTATATCACGTTATTCATGCGTAAGCATGATAACGACATAAATATATTATCAAATTTATATCATAACGATATAATTTTTTTCATGTAATGGATATGAACTACCAGCACGGTATTTCATCGTAAATATATCCATTGAATACGTTTGGCCGAATGATTACGTATTAATTTTTGTTTGTTTGTTTGTTTCAGTACAAGAGATGGTGATTCAAGGATCTTTGCAACCTGCGTAAGTATATTCACTTTTTATATTGCCCTACAAATGCAAATGGCGAAAAGTTTGGAGTGAGTGTGAGTGAAAGTCCTAACATTTTATTAATGTTATTATTCTTTTCATTATTATTCATAAGGACTAACAGTCACTCTTACATACAGCGCTTCTTGATGATAACACCTGCTGCGTGTGCTAGGCAAATGAACATTTCTGCATTTGTCACCCCTGTTAAAAAACATGAAAAAATCTCAGTGTAAAATAAGTCATCGATCAGATATAAGCATATTGACGCCAGACTATACATTTTGCAGAGCAAATAATTTTTTCTAAAATGTTAGTTTTAATGGCTGGACGAGAGCAGTACCTCTCTCCACAACTAAAGACATTTACTTATTTGTATATTGCACCCCTTCTCTTTTGATATTCTACGTTGTTAAACTATCAAATAATGGAGCTACTATAGCTCATATTTTCTGGAATTATTGCTAACAGTTAGTACGTAATTTTATGGAATTGCATCTTCTAACCCACTAACACTTCAGCCAATACTTGAAAATTCCATAGCCAAACAAAGTGCGAGAGATAAAAAAAAATTGTTATCTAATTATTTGCTAAAATAAAAATCACCTTCTGCAATTGCTTTCAATATAGTGTGCTCTGGTCTCACAAAACGTAAAATTAAAAAAAGTTGTTGTTTGAGATTTTTGATTATTAACAAAGGTGTAGAGCAGATTGTAATTTTTTTTTCACATTACAACTCAAAATTACGCGAAAATTACCGATGCATTGAGAAAGTGCTCACAAAATGTTTTTTTGTATACCAGCATTATAAACGACGGCACAAACATAGACGCCCCTGAACACTATGCAACGTGGCGCACAGTCAAGTATTAAAAGCGTCTTCACTGTATACAAGTAATCTGCCCTTGTGATTGCGAAATATCTGGCGGAATTATTACTTGAATCCCGAACAAGTATATCAAATATCTCCAAGATAGTGTCATGGCTAACCCATGCCTAAATTTGAGGGAGAACGTTTTAACAATAGGATACTTGGCAACGATGTCTAGAACCTAGAACAAACCCATACTTGCGAGAAAGTATTTTATCTATTAGAATGTTTGCACATCGTAGCGTAAAACGCGATTAAAAATCACCGACCAGTAGTGTGTGATGTGTAATACACTGCAATAGCGAAGCATTGCCGGGTCAACGAATATTTTAGTGTTAAGGCAAGGCACACTCGCAATATAACAGCCATTTAGCTAATATATAATAATTAACACTTCTATTAAAATTAAATTACATTTTAATACTTTCATTACAGAACATAATTACGTTTTAATAAATGTTAATACATATTCTTTTTGTAGTTAAAAACAGTTCAATCTTCAAATAATACCATCGAAGTTCCATGTAGGACTTGTTTTCAATGGTCGAACGATTTTAAGAGATCTAGGGAGATCTAGCGAAATCTGCTCAGTCTTCTTAAGACTTTATTATTGTCGAGTAGGTTCTAAGATCGGTGATTAAACGTGATCTAGACGTTTAGAGTATTTTTGGAAAGTGGATTGGATTTCTTGGTAAATTGTGGGTACGTTTAAGTCATTGCGCAATGTTTTATTTGAAACAAACCAGGGACATTGACAAGCAATGTTAACGGTTTTGATTGTAAACGTAGTATTTCTAAGTTTGCATTTACCACAGTTCCTCACAGTTGTATTCCTGTTAAAAAAAGGGAGACCTTCGTAACAATTTTTCAAAACCCAACTAGGGAGATAATCAGGAATAAGAGAATCGTGTTCAGAGCGAACAAACAGCGCATTTATTGTACAGAGGAACAACTGAAAGACGAACACAAACGAGAATTGTAATTTTATGTAAAGTTACAATATTGGCATTGCACTCATTTCCCCAAAGCCTCACCACAGCTTATAATATACGGAAGCTCGCACACATCAAAATCGAGAGGTCATATATAACACAGTGAAATGAGCTAGCTGAAAAACTCAAGTTTCAGGCTCTGATCCATCAAGGAAATTTAACACGAGAATTCATACACCAGATTAAGCATTTGAACCTGTGAAACACTCCAAGGAACTCATTCAGTTTTTAACTACATAGAAGCAACACAATTTCTATTGAGGGCATAGCATTATTTGCATTAAAATTACATTAATTACAAAATAAAGAAGAGAATAAATACGAAGGCTGTCAGGCCACAATCGTCTTCGGCGCTTCCCCCAGCCATAGACAGCCTTCCGGCCACACTGCACGGCTGCCTTGAATCACTCTCAGTCCTCTGTCCCTTTGGGTACGCAGAGCCAGCCGCGCCGCTGATCCCTTAATGGGTGAGGGGTGTGGAGGGGAGGGAGTGGTGATGGGGGGTGGGACAGGGAGGGGACATGGGCGGTTCACGCCCCTGCTTCCGACGCCGCGCTCTGGCAGGTAGCGCTGGAGGCTCAGCGGAAACGCTAGCTTACCCCAGCGGCGGCACCGACCTCGGAAGGGTGTTAGGGGCGATTATTTTATATATTAACTATTGGGCGGAAAATTTGCACCATATCCCATACTGCAACACTACAGAGCTTCCGTCGAGGTGGGAAATTAATGGGGTTCAATTGTCGATGGTGGAAAATGTGTTAACAATTCCGTATATCCAGACAAGTTTTAATATTGATTTGTAATTAATTGTTTGTTTGGCAAAGAGAGCCACGATATTTTGCCTTTAAGCCAATGGTATTGTATGGTATTGATTTCGAGATCTGTAATTTTATTTTTAATGTTTGTCTTCCAAGTATTTTTTTTTGTCTTGATGTAGATCAATTTATTGTACCCTATTTTCCAGTGGAATTTTCTTGTTCCATTTTTTATCTGGAGGGCATCTATTTCGTCTGAGTATGAATGTCACGTGCAAAGATTTTTTTAGTTTTCATACTTCACTCTGAGAATCAGTTCTTCACCAGAGAGATATTCTTGTAATCAGCAAACATGGCTGATGTTCGTAGAAGTAGGTTTGCCATGTGTAGTAGATTCAGTAGAATACCGAGCACACGTACTCTCGGTATTCCGGCGGCAGCAGAACAGAATTATGTTTTTCCTCAAATTTTACTTCGAAACATCTTCCATCGACGTAGCACAAAAAATGGCGGGAGTAATAAAGTTTTGATTTTGTATAAGAGTCCTAAAAGTCATACTTACTCGAAGGCATAGACATCATACAAAAAAAAACAGAACAATATAATTTCTTCTCTAGAGCTTCATTGTTGATGTGTTCTATTCTGTGATTTGATCAGTGGGTGCATGTTTCATTCGAAAGCCAAATTGATAGTTTGAAATAATACATTTTTCTCCAATAATTGGAAGTATACTCTTGAGGAAACGTTTTTCAAAAACTTTGCACAATGACTGCAATAAACTGATAGGACAAATTTACTTCGAAGATGGTATTGCCCGGTTTCGGTATGACTATAATATAATTTGACTGAATTTGCATTGTGAGGGAAAATATCCAATTCTAATAATGGAGTTGGAAATTGATGTTACAGATGCTAATGCTTTATCTGGCTGGTTTCATAGAATAACGGCGGTGTACAACGTCGTACTTTGTGGTGGTGAATCGGTTTTATTGTGTGTAAAGCTTCTGCCTTTAAATGCTTTATTGGTAGGGATATTTTTTAGGATACTTTAATGATCAAGCTAAAATTCGTTTCTCGTTTTTGTCTATTAGATGGAAACGGCCGAAAAACATTTACAAAAAGAGAAGAGTCAATATCTTTGGGTTGGGCACTCTTTCACGATGTTCCTTGGTTTCATGTGCGTACAGATTAAGTTGCCTCTTTCCTCGTTTCATCTCGTCAATTATTTCAGGGTTTTTGCGAGTAGTGGTTTCGTAGATTTCTGGTGTAGCGTGCCATGCTCCTTGTTGAATCTGGTTGTTAAATAATCAACTGCATCGTCTATATCGAATTCAGTTTTCAGGGGAATATTTGGAAAGACATTTAAATACAGCCATTCACATTCCGCATTGTATCCAAATTCTCATTCGATCCAGTTCGTTTCCTTATAGGAGATGTTCTTCAAATTATCTTCTGTTGTATAGGAGTGGATAATTAAGATGGATGGAAAGGATGGTGACTGGAATGAAGGATGGAAGATGACTGGGAAGGGGACTTAGAATTAGAGGAAAATTTGACAGAGTTTTTAATTGATGTTAAGCTCTGATTGGTTCGTTTCATGATAAAGAAATCAAGTAAGTCCTGCTATTTTACTATACCCTATTGGTCAGTGCCGTTGTTGTCATCTTGCATATGGTTCAGGGAAGTGGCTACGTTGAACAGGAACGTTGAGAGCCTTAATCCCCAGTGAGCATGTTTTACGTGGTAGTCTCATCTGGAAATGAACCTCTCGTCCAACGTATCAAAATATTCTCTGAATATTTCTAACGTTATTTAAATCTTTTGGTAAGCTATGCATAGCTGAGACAGTCGACGCTCCGAAACTGCCATAAATAAGTAGAGAGGTGGCGGCTTGCAAGTAATCATTTTCAGATTTCATAGTTAAGAATTTTAAAGTAGCCTTTCTCTGTGATGTGGTTTTCTGAGGTGAGCTTTATGTCATTTTTGTTTTGTTTTGCAGATAACTTACATTCAGGAATAGCTAATCAGTTGTCAAGGTGCAGTTTTCAATATAAAAAGTAGACTATTCAAAACTTGTGGCAGGTAGTCAATGAATTGACCACTATCCTATAAAATGTTAAATTACATTTTAATTTGGTAATCAGTTACTAACTCTCCTTACACAGTGGAAAATATAGCCCACAATTCTTACGAATATCATTCTAACATATTGTAATCACTTCTCATATACCTTCACTTATACCTTTGTATGTGGCCAACATTCATCAAAGCCTAATAGTATTAATACTGCGCAATTATTTTCACATGAAATATTCTAACATACCACAGCAAACACTATTTCTGGTCAATATTTGACTATTCTCCCATCCCCTCCCCGGTATTGGAATTCATCCACATTCATCCCCTCTGACCTCCACGTTCCTTTTCTCAATAGCACTGATAGTAACAATACCTCTCGAATACAACCTCGGTTTTCCGTAGGGGACTTCTGTTGCCTGAATCTTCGTGAATGTTCGCGTCTGTCCGTCGTCGATCGGATGACGCAGGGGACTGCTTCGCCTCGCGCCTCACCGCCGTCTCTCCTCTCTCCACCTTCCGCCATACTGCTCTATCCCATGGGAATCGCTAACGCCGTTAGGATTTCGTAATATCTACCACGCAATTAGGAGGTTGCCCCCCCCCCCAATTACCGTCCAATTCAGCTATTGCACTATCCAGGGCTTCCTGGGATGATACACTTTTATCACACGTCCTCGGGAATGCGTTCATTTCCAAAGCACCTGGCTAATCCAAGGGCCACCACCAGTTTCACCTCCCATATAGAGACCTCTCTCACACCATCCACGACGCCAATAGGCTCAGTTGTAAATGTCCACCATTAGCAGCCGTCGATCCTCGTCCCTCGCACCTCGCAGTCAATCGGATCGTCTGCTTCGACACCTCTCATCGACCTCGCTTCAACAGTTTCACCGCCACACGTTTGCTATTAGTTTTACTTCAGTTTCTCATCTCTCTATTCCATCACTACAATCCGCACTGTTCACTTCATTAGGAGCACGATCCCCACTCCGGCCATTTGTCTATTCTCGCAATTATACCAAACGTCTTTCGCAGTCTGTGGACTCGGCTACCTCGCTGCCTCGGTCCGCGCACTTGTGCAGTTCGACCCGTTGTCTCCGTCGGTGTCCCGTGCACGATCGACTAGCGCGTTATCAACTGCGTCGGTCGGTCGTCCGTTTCCCGCCGTTTCCATTGATAATTAATTCATTGATGATTAATTATCAAGAGACTATTTGCTATCAATATCTGTGTTATTGTTTCCAGGTTGTAGGTCTATGAAGAAAAGAGGAAAAGGTGATTTTGTTAAATATGTTTGATGTCAATGTGACAAACCTTGTCGCCGTAGCATTCGATGGCTTCTGGCAGTTCTTTCATACAGTACGCATTTGGGAGAATTTGTTGGAGCACAATTCTAAAAGGACGTTCTTTGAGCTGATACGTATGAAGTGTAATTTGGGTCGATTGTCTGACTTCGCCGGCTAGCTAACCGTGTTCCCCATGCCTGGAACCAGTTTAATTCCTACTCCTGAGATTAAGGGAGACATGTGGCGAACATGATACATGCCCTTCACCGTGACTAGCAAACTCCACCTGCCTGAGCTTTTCTTCGTCACTCAGTTACAGAAATTGAGACGATTTTAAAGGAAAGCTACAATTGTACTTTTGGTCCGTCCGTCTCCCCGTCCGTATTTACGAAGTACAGTGACTAACATTGTTAGAATTTTAAGGGCTTTATCAATTAAGCACGAAAAAACTGTTTGAAAAATAATATTTCAACCGTTATTGATTCATTTGTTTGCGGAAAGAAAATATCAAAATTTAAATTTTAAATTGTATAATTAAATTGCAAAATTGATCATTTTCTCTAATAGTTTATTGTAATAAATGTTTTCACTCCTTAAATTCAGTTTATACCTCAAAATTAAATTAATGGCGTCTTTAATTACGTATTGTACCGGTTGAAGGGCCTTCTCTGTTGATCTTACGCCACTGCTCAAATGGAACGTCCATTTAAATGAATTGAACACAAAATTAAGTTCTTCATTCAGAATTCTTTCAAATTCAGTCAGCCTTCCTGCTGTTCGTATATTTCGGGAATGGTCATTCCTTCTTGAGATATGTCATGATATTCTGGAGAAATACATCTTATATCATCTTATATCTGGAGCTTACATCTATATAAATTCATGTTATATACTTCTTCTTAAAGAAATACGCCTTATAGCTCCCATATTTGTAGATTACAAAAAAATTATCAGGGATAATAGCCTAAATCTATAGTTGATTTGCCTTTTCAGTTAGTTTTTATTACAACAAAGCGAATATTTTCTTATCAGTTCTAGCCAAAAACGCTCATTTCTTTCTGTATTCAGAATTCAACTTGTAACTTAGGGTAGGGTCCCAGAATTAAGAAAACCTGCACAGAATACATTTTCCCAATAGCATCTTACACACAATGTTTAACTGATTTTGACATTTAATAAGTAAATAAATATATCAACTAATTAGTTAATAAGGTCGTATACAGTTTTTGGGAAATATGTGTACTTTTCACGTCATTTTGCGTGAAATTTAGATAATTTTAAAAACTAATTTTTTCGTTGAACTTTCAAATTTTCGAAAATTGCGAAAGTTACAAACAAGTTTTCCTACAAACTACAATGATGATGAGAAAGATGTTTACTTTCTCGCGTACATTTTATGCAGATAGATAATGCATTGTATTACTTGGGGTGAAAACGGCGATTTTGCGACTAAAAAACTCTTAATTGCCGGGTCCTGATAACAAAAAGGGGATACATCTTGTTTCTGCATACAGTAAATTACTGACTCTAACACGTTGTATAATCAGACTTGGACTACTCAGACTGGGACTTAACACCAATCGCCGGCCCTGCTAGAACACTTCTTGAAACAAAGATTCCTCAGCAAAATGACGAAAACATTTTTTCATCTTATTGAAGAGAAGATGGTGATGTGTTTTTTTTTACTAAAATTACGCCCCTTTACCATTACTCTTCTTGAATTTTCTCTGTTTCATTTTCTGCTTGTTTGTTTCAGGTATGGAGGCAGACCTGCAAATATTTCTCCCCCAGTGTTCGAGCAGATATTTCGAAATGCTCGATTTGCACAGGGAGGAAATGCCCTCTTTGAGGGAAAAGTTCGGGGCCAGCCAAAACCAGTTGTTTCTTGGACCAGGAAGGGAGCACCTCTTCTCGGTAATTAGTAGCCAAACATTTTAATTTAGAATCTTGAAAGTACCTCTACAAGAGAGCTGCGCGCACGTACGTGCGATTTCTGGGAACACAGTGGACCTAATCACTGACACACATGTCGTGTGCGGAAAATACAGTGTGTCGGAATGACTATTGCACGTGCGAAATCTGCATGGGACGTGGCAACCTGTGGCAACGACCGCAAATTACTCACAATTTCACTCGGTAACGTCTTCAAGGTCTCCCTGAAATTGTCTTCACAGTCCCTTACAGGACTACAGTTTGAAAGCCTATTCCTAATAATAAAGAAAATTTTGAAACGGCAGTTTAATTTTAAATTAAATGGAATCGTGTTTTCCAATGCATTGTATTGAATTATTATTATTATGAGAGTTTTATTTCGTCCTCTCATTTTTGGGATTTACCCTACTTTATTATAATAAATAGAATCTTAAATCGCAAGTTATTTCCATCACGCACGTGTGCTTGCTCATTTAAGAAGTTGAAAATTCTGACGGTAGTTCTGAGGTAATTGTTGAAATTTTCTTCGTTTTTCAATTATTGTTATAAATTACTTCTGGGCTCTTTGTTAATCAAAAAAGTGTGGATTTTATTAGTGAAAGTGAGGCAGGCCATTAAAAAAACAATTTGGAAAAAATATTGAGAAAAAATAGGGGGGAAATGTTGAGTTGATTTCACAAGTGTGTAATTAAATCAATTGATTTATATCACCACCCTAATTATAACTGTTTTCATTTCAGAGTCTGGAAAATACAGAATGAGTTACGATGAACAAAGTGGGAAGGTTTCACTTCTCATTAATACTATAGGACCAGGTGATGAAGGTGAATATACATGTACAGCCCAAAACCAATATGGAGAAGCCATTTGCTCCGTGTATATTCAGCCGGAAGGTGAGTATTTCTGTATGGAAATAGAGGCGACTTTTTAATATAATTAACAGATTATTCGTAAGATTCTAAAAGAATTTTCGAAGTTGATTTTTGTTAATGTGGAGATAATTATGCTTTGCAAATCAACAAAAGTCTCAAGTCCATTTGTATCTTTGCTGCTATATAAAGTTACGGCTTCATGTACATTTTACTAGAAAATACTGTGTTTGCGTATTTCATAGATTCCGAGTTTGGTTATTGTGTGTACGACCGCGCGAGACTATACTAGGAATAAACTGTGGGCAGCTCAAGGTCATTTCGAAAGTTATCTCCCCACTTCCCACTCTCAAATTACCCACCGTCTCCACCTTGATACACACCAACAGCGAACGTGTAACTTTACACTCTGATTTAAACGTAGTATTCCTTCAAGGTCACGAGCGGGAAGTACAGGGGGCACTATCATCGAATCGAGAGCTTTGTTACAATTAAATTTTTGGTACTGGAGCTCCTAATTGATTGACAGTGTCCCTCTCTCCATCCAACCTCTAACCTTGAAGGGACACTATCTTTAAATCGAAGCGTGTCTCTGTCTGTGCGCTGGGAGGGAACAAACGGCAGGGGCGGCGGCAGGGACGCACCCTGCACGGGTAACTCCATTAAGTCAAAATGTATTTGAAAAGAGGTAAAAAAAGAATCGACAATGATTGCTGATGGAACGGGGGAGGAGGTATGGTGATCCTTTCAGAAAGACCATCCACCCATGACCAAGACCTATCTTTAGACGCTATAGCAGTCATTCCATGTAACAATTGACAAATTTCTCGAAAATCCTGTGACACTGAAATTTTAAATTTAATTTAAAGTGTGTGTGTGTGTGTGAAGAACTATGTATGTGTAATAATAAAGCCGCAAGGAAACAAAATAAATTCAACGATTACTTTTAGAGCTTTTTTTTAAATTTTTAGTTCAGTACTGAACGTGAGATTTCATGACCTGATTAGTATATCCTAATACATATATATCCACATATCTACAGCAGTTACGTATTGTAAATACTAGCGTTAAATGTGTTTAGTTTTTTCTCCAACAAAAAAACTCTTTCAGAAACATCTTATTAATTATACATACTGGATTTCGATAAGATAGGCTATATATTTAGTTTTGTGTTAATAAAAACAATCTCAAATGCTAATAAAGGAACTTTAACTGGCCTAATTGTTATCCAGTGTAGCTCCCGGTTACCAAACGACCGGATAGAGGAGTCCACAATACGATCGGATGAACGAGTCCACAATACAAGGAATTCTTGCGGAATTATTAAATAGCGTTCACCAAAACCACTACAGAATTACTATCGAAGAAATGGATAGGGCACCCAACAAAATATTTTGCCAGTGTAAATAGAAAATATCTATTGGTACCTACAACATATTTGGTTGGATTGCAAAAAAATTGCACCACAGCAGATTTGACAATTTGAAATGATATTTTTTTACTTTCTCATTTAAGGGGTGCAGACAAAGTATTCTAAAAATGCTGCAAAAAATCAATGGCCTTTTTACGGAATACACGATTGAGAGGTTCCAAATACCGAAGCCTCCCCTGAGTCCCGTTCCAAGTATTCTCGCAAGTTTTGGCAAGTTTGCTTGATACACGAGATCCCTAGCCCTCTCCCAGCGCTGAATGCCACGGCACGTTGAGATACTTAGGTTCGACTCGGAACGGCACGTGCCAATTTACAAAGCTGGCAAAAACCTCCTCGTTCTTTCAAAACAATCGTAGCATTTCTCTTGGCACGCTTTTGCGAGTTAAGTTTATGCCCATAGTTGGTACGCCCTCTTAAGCTGTGACGTAGTCAGAGCCCTCCTCTCCCAGCACCCCCCGCTGTGGAATATCAAGGAAATTTGCGCTTGTAGTAGTGGAGGTAGAATAGCTTTAAAACGATTAATTTGCGAAAGTGGCAACCTAGGTATCTTTCATCAACAAAGTGAAAGCTAGCCGGTCCGTGTGGCCGAGATTGTTAAGGCAGTAGTGCCGTTGAGTTCTCGGACCGAAGGATTGTGGGTTCGCGTCCCTCGGGCATCGTTGTATTTGTGTTCGTCCTTTCACTCCTTATCTTCACCACATCATGTTATCTTCACATCGCTATACCGTTAAATGCAATAGTGATCGCAAATGACCTAGAAGTTGATGCGACTATAAATAACAAAAAAAAAGTGAAAACTACTTAACATAGGATTTCAATATTGGCCATACGAATAATTGTATTCTGTTTAAAACATTGCTTTATTTGTCAATTATAGGCCAACTGCAGCCACAGATAAGTGGTTACCAAAAGGAGTATGCCCAGACTGTACAGAGTATGGAGCAGACCCAATCAACTTTACAAAGATACCAGAAGCAGATGTCTGCGTATGGTAATGGAACAGTAGTTGAGGAGGTAAAGAAGAGCTATTTTATATTTGTACTTATCAAAATGTGAAATAATTTGTATTCATTTCTAATTTATTTTGTATTTTCAGGATTTTAAAGTTGATACTTTTGAGTATCGTCTGTTACGTGAAGTTGAATTTCGTGAATCAATCACCCGCAGATTTATTGGGGAGATCGATTCTACAATAAATACTGTAGTTGAGCATTCCTTGGGGCCTGCAGTCCCACCACAGATTGTACAAAAACCTCGTAACTCAAAACTCTCTGAAGGTTCTGTTGCAACTTTTGAAGCGAGACTCACCGCAAACCCCAGACCAAGGGTACGTACATTAACATTCATAATTCTGTCTTACCATCAATATGATATGGTCAGTTATTGTTTTTCACTTGCTTATTTGTCTGCGATGAATTCCTAATAGCGAGTTTTAATTACAGCTTACTTGGTTTAAAAATGGTCAGAGAATCACATCAACACAGAAATACCAAACTAGCTTTTCAAATCAACAAGCTACTTTAAAAGTTCAAAATCTGAGTTGTACAGATTCTGGCCACTACACGCTTTTGGCTGAAAATCCACAAGGTATAGAAATGGAAGAAAAATATTTGTCGTAGTCGTTACCACTTAATTAATATTAAGTATTTCAATTTTGAATTTATAATTTTAATTTTTACTAGGTTGCGTTGTCTCTTCTGCATATCTTGCTGTGGAACCATCGTCTGTTCAAGATGGCCTGTACGGAAAGTAAGTTTTAATAAACCTACATTACTTATCTTAGGGGAAACAAACTTTGATTTTTCCTTCTAAAAATAATTTAAATTGTCTTATTTTAGCATCCGCGAACAAACCAAGTCAACTGTTGTGGAAACCACAACAGTTGAAACAGACGGTGGGAAATCACTGGCACCGAACTTTGTGCGTGTGTGTACAGATCGTGAAGTCACTGAGGGCAAAATGACTCGATTTGATTGTCGAGTGACCGGCCGCCCTTACCCAGATGTTGCGTGGTTTATTAATGGCCGTCAGGTGTCAGACGATGCCACGCATAAAATCTTGGTGAATGAGTCAGGAAATCACGCTCTCATGATCACTAATGTACACCGTTCTGATGCAGGTGTTGTAAGTTGCATTGCTCGAAATAAGTCTGGCGAAACATCTTTTCAGGTAAATATTGTAATGATGAAATACTTGTTAAGTAATTTTGAGACTAAAATGAATGCTACAAATATTTTATGCATGGTGGTTAATACCATGTGATATTCTCTTTCTAGTGCAATTTACTTGTAATCGAAAAGGAGCAGGTAGTTGCTCCCAAATTCGTGGAACGCTTTACCACAGTGCATGTAAAAGAAGGAGAGCCAGTAGTTCTAAACGCAAGAGCTGTTGGAACTCCTGTCCCACGTATCACTTGGCAGAAGGTGAGATAATTTAAGAAAGTTATGTTTTTAAGTTATACAATAAGAAATAATAGGTCATATTTCATCAAAGAATACACTTTCAAATGTAATAAGATATGGCTGTAAATGAAACTAAATAGCACAGTCATATATAGCCATGTATTCAACAATATAGCGTATATTAAATTTATCACGTTATTGATGAGAATTCATGGCTATCTATTGCATTGCTAACAATGATTTTTTTTAAATTAGGCTTAAAGGATATTTGTTTTAAAATTTAAAAGCAGGTGTGTGTAGAAACTTTTCATTATTATTACTAAGATTATCAACTTCTCCAAGAAATGTTAATTGATCTTAACAAAAATAACGACTGGATTGACCATGTCCTGTATTTTTTCTCCGCGAAAAATTAATGCGCATAAAAATTAAGATGCAGACGCGAAAAATGAAAAGCTTAAAAATGTGTGCGTGATCGTCATAAGAAATGGCTCGCGAAAATGAATCCGATACGAAGCGATGGGGCAGACAAACGAAGTGGGAATGAGGAACACGCTCTCCCGGCCACTGTTTGGCAAGTAACGTTGCTAGATTAATTTACGCGTATTATTTTAAGGAAACAAAAAAGGTATTTCAGTATTTGTATATGATGCATGAAGTATCATTCGAAAGATAAAAAGAATTTAATTTTTTTTTGTTTTCAATACTTTAAATCATTACTAGTAGATAGACCGTTTTTAAAAGAAGTCAAGTATTTTTAACACGCAGTGATGTATCCTTGAAGCATGTCACTGTGTTGAAAAAAATCATGTTCTGTCAAATAACAATGCTCGTTTGTGCGATCCGATATGGAGGCCAGACCGCCCACGTTCCACCTCTAGTGGGTATTTCGGATGCATATGACGGGATCGCGCCAGTTTTTTTTTCTTGAGATTCTCCAGTTTCCCCTACATTGTATTGCACCACGTTTCTCCGTCATCATTTTGCTTGTCAATCTCATCTAATATCTTTCCCGTTCATCTCCGGAATAAGAAGCGCTCTCTAGTAGTTCTCTAGTAGTTCACCTGCGGAACACTTTCCTGTGGCGTTCTCTCACGCCATACCCTACATTTATTAGATAAATAAGAAGTAACTTGTTGTTGCAAACGTTTTTTCATGTCTTTGGTTAAATTAAATGGTAACATTTTACAAAATTAAATGACGTATAGTATATCAAGAATGTGCGGGTGTGTAGAAAATGTAACACACACATATACAGACACACATTCATATTCTTCAGACATACACACAAACTTTGGAAGATAGAGTGAATGTGCTTATTAATGTGAGAGGAGGTGACAACACTGCCCAGACAGGGATCTAGCGTAGCATCTTCATTTCCACTATTGTTTGACACTGACCCGCAACGTAATGGCAAGCTATTCACGTAAAAACATGGCAAATTTTGACATGTTTCTAGAAAGTATTTTTGTAGAAATTTTATTTTTTATTCTTAACATTTGCTTGGAAAGTTAATTACCGTAAATATATTGTCGTTTTGTGTAGAAGTGTATTTAGTATTAAGAGTATGTTTCGAAATGTTGAAGAGAATTCTGAATTTGTCTTTTTCTGACGACATTCAGAATTAATAAAAATATAAATTGGGCTTCTGAACTAGAAATTGCGTGTGAATAAATAACTTGTGACCTCAAAGAAAATATGAGAATTCTAAGAAAATAGTATGAGTGAAAGTAAATCGTAGTATATGTATAAGAATGTGTAATATAAATTAATAATTTTATTGAAAAGGCTGTTTTATACCACTATTCTACCTTGTGTTCAAATACATTCTCATGTGAGATGTTTCATTGTGTAAAATATAGTTTGTTACGTACTACAATGCTAAATAACACAAGACATCTCAATAATGATCAATTTTTTCTCCAGAATAATTTCGAAACCAAATTAATCTTTAATTTTCAACAAAATGATAAGCGTTTAACAATCATTACCTTACCATGCTTATTTAGGCATTAAGTCTAAAGACTTTGTATTGCAATGTGCATAAGATACGCTCTCACATGTTAAAATATATAGAAATTAGTGAAAAGTGTTTCTATATTTTGTTTGTTGTAGGATGGTGTTCCAATCACACCTGGACAAAATATAAATATAAGAACTGACAGTGGAGCCTCAACTTTAGATATCCCTCGAGCCAAGGCGTCGGATGCGGCTTGGTACCAATGTACAGCCCAAAATGTTGCAGGCTCCACTGCCACTCGGGCACGACTCTTTGTGGAAATTCCAAAGAGTTCTGCCCCACAACCTCGACGTCTCAATCTACCCAGACCGACCAAGGTCATTGAACCAGAGTAAGTGTACCAAATCATCACAATTAAACTGGTTTTTTTTCGTTTTGACTTATATTTTATTATTATTATTATTATTATTATTATTATTATTATTATTATTATTATTATTATTATTATTGTCATTTAAAAAAATTGAAACGTGGATTACAATCTTCCGGACAACCAGAAGAATAAACGTAGTAAAAAGTAGAGGGTGGTGAGAGCGTTGCAGTCTTGAGGGCGACAGCGACGAACCACGAGTGTGCGAGGGAAAAGTAGAATATGAAAAAGAACATTTAATGGTCAATTTGTTCTAAATTCTGGAAGACCGTGATAAAACTGAATGTGCATGATCCAAAGAAAATATAAACTGTAGCATGAACAGAGCAAGTACTGACCAATGTTTTGAAATTTGTTTGTTGTTTCGTTGAAATCGCCTTGATTTTCTGAAATTAAGATTGGTCCGTGTCCGACCCGACCGTATCCAAATACCCGACTTTTAGTTAGCAGATGCATGGGTTTTTGATAATAAGGACATTTTTTTAAATTTATATATTCACTCTTCTATCGCTGGTATTCTCGCTTCAAAAATATTAAACTGCAAGCGAATGACTGGCTTAACTCATGAACTCAGCGGAGTTAAATTCCTAAAGCGAATAAAAACTTGTATTATGACAATATAGCCCAGACATTTTCGTTGTATATGTATTATTTTAATGAACTACATCTACATACTCAACAATCCCTCATACACAAAACTTTTTTATGGAACGGTTGAAAAAACAATACAAATGGCATCCAATTCAAGTCCAAAGGCACCATGTTTATGCAGCAGATGAATATTGTCGCAAATGTGGGTATTTTTAAGAGGTCATCGTAAGAGGTTCCAGATCTCAAAGCCTTTGTTCGTGTGGTTAGGAGGTCTGGGATCACAAACCGCCTCATAAACATTTCAAACTTCATTACTTTCTCATAATATACGATTTGTAATGGTTACGTAATATTATAATACAAGCTGAATCCTTGCAAAAATTTGGCTCATTTGCACACTTTGTCATCGCGACCAACAAACGCTTTTTTCACTTCAGAATCCTCTCATTTACCGAACACATGACTCTGCGAGCGTTTTCAACGAGCAAAACTGTTTTCCTGCGATGGAATTTGGACTTGAGCAAATTAAAACCGCGATTAACTATTTTTCTTAAATATTATGCTTCCGCATTTTCTAGAATCTAGTCTAGAATCAACACTTTCGCGGCAGATATTCTAAAACTAAACAAATATTCATAAAAGAAACTTAAAATATATTTTTTAAGTTGGTAAAAACAAATATATAGTTACATTTCAAAATATCAAGATTGCGGATGTAGTAGATTATAGGGAATAAATTTGAAAAAGAAATTTAATAGCAGCCATTCACGGATTTGTGTGTCACAGCATTATAGCCCTGGTACTGTGCGAGGGAACCACTCCAATATTGCCGAGCGCATATTAAAATGCACCGAAAAGTCAAATAGTCCCTTTATTTTGATTGTGAAAGATTAATTTGGTGTTTTTCCTTCATTTTAATTCTATATAACTAACAGCTGTGCGTAAATAGACAAATTAATGTAAATATTTTGATTCTTTTCAAATACAATCTGTCCGTGATATGCAGTTATCGTGCACTCAAAGAAAACAACGACACTGCAGTCGAGAAGTTAGCTTTTATTCGACACACGCACCGATTAGAAGAAGAATATTACGTATCGTCGGAATACATAAGAAACTCACTAAGTCGAGTTTTGAGGTTTTTGAGTAACTTACATGACGAAGTCACATTTTTATATTCTTGTAATTAGTGAAATCAGTGAAGTCCTGGATTTTGGGTGTACTAAATTATTTTGTTTTTTAACTAACTCACAGAACAGCAAAAATATTGAGGAAAAGTTCATCTTTGGACGTTTTTCTCTTAAAACCAATATTACATATTAATGTGTATGCAATTGAAACCCGGTTTTTTATCTTATCTAGCAAACGATATTGAGTAGACAAATTTAACAATATCAACTCCAACGTGATTTATCTGGAAACTCTATTTTTGGACTTATGTGTCACTTGAACAGTAGTATGTAACGATTTGTAAGTATTATTTTCCAGAAAATCTAACTAAAATTCATCTACTAGGTAATACTTTAGGATTGTTGAGTGACTTAACAACCCAACAATGGTGGGCATCCTTGCATCACCCTAGTTTCATAAATCCTTTGAAACAAAGATAAAAAAAGAAAGAGAACTGCCATAGGGGGATGCAATTGAGGAAAGTATCCATATTCAAGTATTCACACAGGCTTAGAGCATTTTGTGTTTCTCTCCTATCAAATATATCAAAACTAAAAATTAAATTTGCAGCCAATTGTCAGTGGTAGGTTGCCTTCAGTTCCCTTTCTTTTTGTTTCATATTATCAGTTCACTTAAAAAATCTAAGACAAAATGTATTTCTTTTTTAGACCACAACCGGGACCAGAAGTTATTTACCTTCGTCACGTTGAACGAGCAAAACCACATGCTCCAGAACCCCAGCAAGACCAAATATATCCACCACCTCAATTTATTATACCTCTTTCTAATGTACAACAAGTGGAAGGTGGTCGTGTTCACTTTGAAGCACGTATCGAACCCGTTGGTGATCCAACAATGAGAGTTGAGTGGTTTATAAATGGGAGACCTCTGGAAGCAAGTACGTAGCAAAAAGTGTAAAGCAGTTCAATTCCCTACTTATGTTAGATTTTGTTTCAGGTTGCACAAATATTTTTTGGAATATTCTAAATATCAAACCAAATACAATGATGTTCAAAGCGTTAGAATATAATATAAATATCCGTATGTTTTATAGAACTTGAGAAAGGGGTAAATATCTTCAGTAATGATTCTCTTTTTAAGGTTCCCGTGCTACAACCATCTTTCGTTTTGGATTCATTGCCTTGGATCTCATTAGTATAATTTTGGAAGACAGTGGAGAATATCTCTGCCGTGTAACTAGCAGCTCTGGTTCAGTAGAATCTCGAGCATTACTCAGTGTAACAGGTAAAGTACCTAATGATCTTGTTTTTACACTGCATATTATAATTGATACAAGAAAATGAGTTTAAAGACGAAAGACCTGTGAATAAAGAGGTAAAACATGGGCGTAGCCAGGTTAATGTGAGGCAAGATTTTTGGGCCGGGTATATGAAGTTTTCAAATTTCAACAATATTTTAATTACTATGCAAAATAGTGTCTAATGCTTTCAATAAAAATTAACTTTTTGTCCACATTTTATTTTATATTGCATATGTTCTCGTTTTTGTGCTTTGTACCCAATTTCTAATTGGGATGAGGCAAGTGTTGGTGGCCTCGGTAGTGTAACGGCTACCGTACCGATAACCCAAATTCAAGGGTCCCGATCGTAGCTGTGGATTTTTAAGGTTGAAAAAATTCTTAGTACACCTTCATTTAAAGGGGAAGTAAAGCCGGTTGTACAAAACATGGGAATTGTTGTAGATTTACTGCATGTAAAAGACCCTCATGCATAAAATCATCTGAGCTAAAATCAAATCGCCAGTTTCATCGTCCGAATGATACCTTCTTTCTCCGCTAAATGGTAAAAGGAACGTAGGGAAAAAAAGCTTGGTCAGACAGAAGAGCTGGCCTGACGGCTTGAGTCTACTCGCCACTAAAATATTTTCTACTTTCGTCTTTGTACTCGCCATGTAAAATAAGGCTTAATTTGAAGTGTCCTGTATTGGCCATGCCCCTGACATTACTATCAATATATTTTTTTCAATTATAAGTGCATTGTTTAGCTGTGTGTGTATGTGGTCATATATATGTATATATAGTAATATATAGGTCATATATATAGTAATTCAATATAACAAATTAATTCAAAAATCTTTGAATTAATATGTTCTGTTTTGTTACATTACTATTATTTCAATTAGTTCTCTTTTACCATCTTTCTACTCAGACAAACTGATTTTTTTCTGAGAAACTCATTTTAATGCTCTCTAACATCCCTCCTCAATAACGTGTCCCACTCGAACTTCGTTTATATTGTGTTCTAATGTAAACCAATTTCAACAGCTCGAGCTTCTATTGAGCAGTCCAGTCAACATCCGGACAGTCTCCAGTACATTCAGCAACTAGAAGACTATTCTCACTATCAGAGGCAAGAAAGCTTGGAAGAAACCATTTACCAGCGCCCGAATTTCATCCGGCCACTCCAGAATCTTGGAGAGCTGCAGGAAGGGCGCAACGCGCATTTCGAAGCCCAACTTACCCCTGTCAGCGACCCTTCAATGAAAGTGGAATGGTACAAGGATGGGAAAACCATCACAGCAAGTACGTTTCTAGCGAATGCGAACCATGCCTTTCCTTCAGAAGAGAAAAGTAACATATTAGAGAAATTAACCGCTGTTTGTCGACTTGCTAGTAGTAACTCATTTCAAAGGCAATTAGTAGTGCAACATAATGGCATAAACTTTCCCGTATTAGTTTTCTATTTCCTTTGATCTCGGCTAGCCATAGGAACTTGCCACATACTCTAGCCAGCTGCCATCTATCGCCGTCCTAAGTATTTTTTTTTATTTTTTAATTTTTAAAAATTTTCTTAGTTTTTTGGAATATAGAATCGAAATATTATTTTAAGAATATTAAAGAATTGTAAAACTTCGTCTCAAATGGAAATTTTCTTTGAAAAATTTGGAACCATGAAGTTTAAGTGCTACTGTAAATTCGAAATTTGAAGCACTTTTTCACAGAATTTTTGTGAGTTTTCGAAAAACTTAATTTGAAGTCTTCTGAAACACTTTAACTCACAAATACAATAGTGTTTACAAATTGCTGAAAATATGCATATTACGGCGTGAAAGTTCTTTCACAAAATTACATTTGTACACATGAGTAGAATTGCTTCAAATGATTTTCAATAAAGTTTCTGAAACTCTCAATTATCGACACACAATAACCCTCCAGGCAGGCTCGAACCAGCGGCAATTTCCTCCGGAACATTGAGTTCGACCCCGACATTTAACCACTTCGGCTACCCGGGTTATACAGGGAATTGGCACGTCTAATAGTCAGTCATAAGCGGCGAAAGACAATTAATTTGGTGGTTCATACATTTTACAAATCCAATAAGACATTAAAAGTTGAAAATTCGAAAATCACATACAGGCACTTCCAGTTTATTTATCTTGATTAATAGTATTTGCAATTAGAATAGCTTCAAATGTTGTCAATATTATTTCTGCCATTATCAATTATTTCCTGTGGCAACGCAAAATTGTCACAAATAATAGTTCCCTACCAAGACTCGAACCAGCGAATCTGCCCTCCGAAGAACTCAGGTCTTACAACCCAACCCTTACTCTCAATTGCCTTACAACTCCAATTGCATCCAGTTGCGACGTGCAATAAATACGTCTATAATAGTAATAAGTGTATGGTGGTTTCAGTTCTAGCATTATGGAGCCGAGTTATTTGGTAAATGTGAAAAATTCTTGTTTTTCGTGCGACGTGAGAAAATAGGCGAGAAGACAATGACGCGTATCGGAAAAGCTGGTCAAGAGTAGAAAGAATAGAAAACTAACTAGGGTGAGAAAGTCTGTGCCATTCTATGGCACCATTAGTTTTTATTGATTTAAATAGCTAATTTTATACAAGAAATTTTGTCTTACGCAAAAATCTCTATCTTTAAATTTGTAATTTTGAAATGTTTTTGCAATTTTCAAAAAAACGGGCAATACCGTACCTGCTTATTTAATTTGGAATGGTTGGGAATATTTAAATTAAAAGAAAACAACACTGCCGACTTTTGCCATGGATTTTTATACATTGAATAATAATTTGCAATAATGTGTTTATATGTCTCCCCATCGAATTAGTCTATCACTCCGTTCCGTTTTCGCTGCAATATGACCGAAAAAACTAACAATTTAAACTTTGAACTCGGATGTCTCGAAATTTAGTCATTAACATTAACGCTTTGAACTGACTGTTTCTTTGAGTGCAATTCTTCCCTTGCTTTGATCTGCCAATGCGAGGCAATTTCGCCCGCTGTTCCAAGGCACTCTGATTGAGTTTCAACTATACCTCACAAAAACAATATAACGTGTCTTCTTTTGCAGGTTCTCGCATTACAACGCTCTTCAACTTCGGTTATGTCTCCCTAAATATTATGCACCTACGAGTTGAAGATGCAGGAACATACACTGTGAGAGCTGTGAATGCATTGGGCGAAGCAATTAGCTCATCAACTCTGAAAATCTTAGGTAAGATATCGTTGCAGTAACTTAAGTTGTGTTTAGAACTCAGGTGAAATAGTATCACAATTTCATATTCACATATGAAATAATATCCAGTGTAATTTCTCAAAGACGTCAAAGACGACTCTTCTTTGCCGATCCGGTGGCTGAGATCGCTAAGGCAGTAGTGCCGTAGGGATCTCGGGCCGAAAGATCGCGGGTTCGAGTCCCACCTCGCGCGAGGTTGTATTGTATTCGTTTTTTCACCCTCTATCATCATATCGTGTCATCCCGCAGTTACCATACCGTTACAGGCAATAGTGGTCGCTAATGACCTAGAAGTTGATGCAACCTTAAATAGCAAGAAAAATCAATCATTATTTATTATTACAAACATAAGACCATTTTAACAGTTACGCTTCATTAGATGAGCATTCTAATCTAGAACTCAATGCTCCATACGACATGGGTTTTTAATAAGCTGAGTGCGTCAACGAATGTCAAATGAAAATAATAGCAATGCATATCACTAGAAATATAGCATAGCATACAAATAAAAAAAAAGAAATGTGTGGTGGAATTTATGAAGTACAAAATACAATAAAACAAAGGATTCTGGAATCAGCGAGAATAGTTTCCTCAAAATCGGTCTGCGCAGACACTGATTAAGTGATTGTTTCTTCCTGTTATTTGCACAATGTGCACTTGCTGTACTCGGTAGTCTATGCCTTTTTCCATTTTCACTTGGAAAGACTTAGCCGTTCTGGGGGTGCTAGGACTAGGCCTTCGATGGCTGTCTCATTCATCCCGCGGCCAATCCCAAGTGATACTGTCCACCTCCAGTTCGATTTCCCGGAAATACTGTCCGTGAGGTATGGAATGCCCTCCTCTTTGACGTTCCTGTCGTTTCCTTTCCCTGTTGGTGGAACAGACGCTTCTCAGAATTGCTATACATTCCTTACGTACTTCAGCGCGCCATGTCTCCCTTGAACTTGCGATGTACTCTGCCAGTGATAGCTTCCATTTTCGAACCAGCTCGGCCAGTGTTAGCTTCTGCTGAAGTCCACCGCCTCCAGATCTGCAGAAGAAATAGAGAGCAACATTAAAACACGTGTGGAGAGGACAATGAGCTGCCTTTGTTGTTTAGTTTGGAAATCCAGACCACAGTTCTGCTGGCGACCAGTCTATTATATCAGCAGAGAACATAATGCCCAAGGCTTAATAACCTGAATGTGGTTTTCATCGTTCTAATAGCTTCTGAAAAGTATATGCATTCCTTCGTTTGTATTCTGACGAGACAGTGATCTTAACTTCTTGACGGCAGGTATCCGTGGCCTGCTGAAAACCTAAGCGCATTTATTCACGCCGATCCCCGTTCCCTGTCACTTCTAGATGCTCGAATTGTGTTTGGCAGCATCTCTAGCTCTGTTCCAGACTATTGCGTGCAGCTTGAAGTCATCCAGATGATGTGGGAGAATCTAGGTCTCGTCTTCCATGACTTATACTTGAGTAGAGTCTTACGGAAGGTATGGGGTTGAAGAGTATTATGAAACGAAATGGCCAGCGGAGAGAGCGAGACTACTTGATATATCCCGAGGCATATCCTGTCGTTTCGGAGCGGGTATCTCTTAATAAAAATCCTCGTGTTCCAATGATAGTGTTCCGCGCTTTGAAGCACATCATATTTTCTCTAACGGCTACCACTTCTAAGCTTCTAAGCTCTTTACAATTAATTTGTTTGGCAGAGCCGCATTATATTATTATTATTATTATTATTATTATTATTATTATTATTATTATTATTATTATTATTATTATAACATTAATGGCGTCGAAATGTTTCTTATTTAAAAAATAACAGTAACATTTTGTTTGATTTAATTGACTTGAATACTTTGGTTTTTTTCTTGTATTACATTTCATTCATCTCCCTAATCTTGTTATTACAGCAAGAACGAGTGTGACTGGAGACTTAGGTATTCCAGAGCAGCAACGTTACATTGAGAAGGTTGAAGAACTTGAGGCATATCAACAACAACAACAATATAAGTACACAAAAGAAGTACCTGAAAGTACATCTCCACCAGAATTTAAGTCACCCATTCAAGATCAACTGAATATTCATGAAGGTGGATTTGCCCACTTTGAGGCACGCTTGGAGCCAATTGGAGACTCAACCCTCAGAACAGAATGGCTCAAAGACGGTCGCCCTGTTGAAGCAAGTAAGTGTTCATTATAAATCACTCATGAACCAGAGAATAAATTATTTGGAAAAAGTATATTTTGCTGCTTGTTAGCTCCTTCCTGTCATAACTTAAGAATTAATTGAATAATGAATATAAATATTCCTCAATAAACTTTTTCTCCTATTATTTTATCTTGTTTTTCTACACTCACTATCTCATTCTCAAAATTACATTTAGTGAGAAGAAATTGCAATTTACATAAAAATAATTAGAGTTCATTGAACTATTTTTGAAGGAGGATTTGCTCCCTTTCTCAGCAAAGTTTGCACCGATCCTTTTTTCTATATTCTGATAATACTTACTTCATGCATTTCATATTAATAGAGGCAAAACTACTTGTTTTTTAAATTCACTAAAATCACGATTCATAATGACATAAAAATTGTCAGAATAATTGTCTAGAAGATGTATCTTCATTTGCATTCTTAAGTCCATATTATTTTTATAGTTGATTCTCTAACCAAAATAACATTGGGCATCCAACCACTGACTCGCAAGCTATGGATTTGGGAGCATTTGCTATTGTGAACAAACAGATTATAATTTGAATTGATTGCCAAAAATGGTTTGAATATTATACCCAAGTACTTTAAACTGTGATGTCACCTTAAATAAATTAATCAGATTGTTACCATTAATTTATGTGGATCTTTGAATGTTCTACATTTCTTCAGAAAAGATCTACTAACTTTCTAATTTAAATATTTGGAACTAAAGGAATTGGCTGTGGTTTTCTAGAATTCATAATTTATTCTGAGTTAATGTAAGCATTTTGGTTTTCAATTGCCTTTTCAAAGGAATGATTTTATCATGATATTTGACATTTATAGTAATAGTTTCAGATGATTTTTGAACATGTAAATGTTTCAATCTTCTTCGATATCTTCTTCTTAACTGGTTCTACAGCCTACTTCAGACCATGACCACCTTTATCTCTCTTGTCCTCTTATTTCTCTCCACCACTCTGATGCTCCGAGCTGTGTCTCCCAAGGTTTACAGTTCTCCTCCACACAATTTATCCATCTCATTCCTGGCCCACCCTCCATCTCACTTCCTCAGATGTATCAAATTTTTTATCCTTTGCCAATATGGCTCTCATTCCTTGACCTGACCTTCCCTCCCTCTATAGTAGCAATGCTCTCATTCAAATTTTGGTCTTTATTTTGCATGGAAAATGTTAATTCCTTACTTCACATATCCACTTACTGAATTATTGCCAAAAAGAGTATTATCTTGTTTAATCATGAAATATTTTCATTCACAGGTTCTCGAATCACCACTTTCTTCAACTTTGGCTATGTGGCTCTTACAATCAAATATGTCACTACTCATGATATTGGAACATATGTATGTTGTGCATACAACAGTTTAGGCCAGGCAACCACCACTGCTAGACTTACAGTATTAAGCAAACAAGACATAATTTTGGATAGCCAACATCCTGGAGGGCTAGAGAAAATCCAGTATTTAGAAGATTCAAGGTAAATAAATTATATCAAAGTGTAATTATAAATCTTTCATGTTGCATTGAAATCAGATCTGCCTTACTAATCTGCTATTCTAATTTCATTAGTAGATACAGTCGCAGTTTACATGAAGAAACGACAGCTACTCAAAAACCACGGTTTTTGGGTCCATTAAAGGGCACAAACAAAATAGTGGAGGGTCAGAGAGCCCATTTTGAGGTTAGAGTGGAGCCTCAAAATGATATAAACATGATTGTAAGTAAACAAAATGGGTCTAATAATTATCAATATGTTGTAAAAGTTCAAATTCTTAATTATATAATGCCTTCTAGATTGAATGGTACTTCAATGGCAAGGTCATTATGAGTGCTAACAGAATTCAAACTCATCATGACTTTGGATACATTGCTCTTGATATAGAAAATGTAAGATCTGAAGATGCAGGCACCTACACTGTAGTAGCTAGGAATGCTTTGGGTGAAGCTCAGATGTCAGCCACAATGGAAGTTGAAAGTAAGATGAACATAAAACTTCTTTATTATTGTAAAATCTAAAGATTAATAATAAAATAAAGGAAACTAATATTTTTCTAAACATTTCAGCTCGTTCAAGCATTGATACTTCCAGTTTACATCATGGAACTTATGAAAAGACACAGAGGCTTGAGAGCTCCAAATTTGTAGAACCTCAATATCACATTGAAGAAATATCAAAATCAAAACCTATTTTTGTTCAGCCTCTACAAGATCCTAAACCTGTCAGTGAAGGTAAAAACATCCACCTTGAGTGTCGATTGGAGCCAATGGGTGATCCAACGATGCGTGTAGAATGGTTTTATAATGGACGAAGTATCACCGTTGGTATGTAAAAGTTATCACACAACTACTCTCTTTTGTACATTGTTATAATGTGAGAAATCTTATTAATTCATAATTGTGGTTAAATGTTCATAGGGTCACGATTCCGCACATATTATGATTTTGGTTACATTGCTCTGGACATAGTACATGCTACATCTTTAGATTCTGGTGAATACACTGTCAGAGCCTCCAATCATCTAGGCTCAGCACATACTTCAGCATGTGTGCGAGTAAGTGTTTTCTGAAACTTATCAGGGTCTACATTCATTATAACTGTCTATTTCTTAGTTTTTATTTCACCATATGTAATTTTAAATGATTTTAAATGCAATATGAACATTATTTAATATAAATTTTTGAATTCAGGTTATTTCTCGATCAGACATTTTGACAGAGAGTCAAAATGAGGCCGCATTGGAACAAATCCAAATTCTTGAAGATTCTGCTCGTCACCGACGTACAATGCAAGAAGATATAACCATTATGCAAGCTCCTCAGTTCACTCGCCCTCTTCATAACATTGAAACTGTGGAAGGCACAAACATTCATTTGGAATGTCGTCTTCAACCTGTAGGGGACCCAACAATGCGAGTAGACTGGTTTGTTAATGGTCGTCCTGTAAAAACAGGTCAGTCAAAGAAACTGAGGCGTTGACTATTAATTATTTGGTGTTTAATATTTTATCTACAATAATTTAAATCTTCTTTCAAAAGGTCATAGATTCCGACCAGCATACGACTTCGATTATGTTGCTCTAGATCTTCTTAGTGTATATGCCGTTGATTCTGGTGTTTACACTTGTCAAGCACGAAATCAATTGGGTGAAGCTGTAACATCATGTTCTGTTAAAATTATAGGTATGTAGCCTTTTGTATTCATTAAAGTAATAATAATTCAAAGCAAAACTGTACTCATTGTTTATTAAATTTTTTTAGCAAAGAAAGATCTAATTTTGGAATCGCAACATCCTTCTGGACTGGAAAAAATTCAGTATTTGGAGGATGCTTCCAAATATAAACGAATTGAGCACATTGATGAAGTAGTCAATGTAAAGCCTCGATTTGTCACAAAACCTAAAAGCTTAGACAACATGAGAGAAGGTCAACATGCCCATTTTGAATGTAAATTAGAACCTGTCACAGACTCTAATTTGAAGGTTGAATGGTACAAGAATGGACGTCCAATAATTGTTGGTAAGGTTGACTTGCAGGATGACTAAAACTATTTGTTAGTCCCCCATTCATTACTGAAACATTTTGTTAAACATTTGATGTTGTTGTTCTCATTAGGCCACCGGTTTCGTCCAATACATGATTTTGGCTATGTTGCATTGGATATTATCGACCTCATTGCTGAAGATAGTGGTGTTTACTCATGTCGAGCAGTAAACTTGGTAGGAGCAGATGAAACAACATGTTCTCTCACTTGCAGAAGTATGTTAAATGATTTTACTAATAATGTTTAAAAGAAGTTTTATGTAACGTGTATGAAGCAATTCATTGCCTTTTTTTTTATTTAGGTACTGCTCAGATTGTTACTGGAACTCACAATGAAATGGGTCTAGAGCAAATTCAGCACTTAGAGGATCGTTCAAAGTATCATAGAGCAGAGTTTTCAGAAGAAATAACTAAACAAGCTCCAATATTCACAACATCACTTAAACACATTGAAATTAAAGAAGGTCAAAGAGCACATTTTGAGTGTCGTTTAATTCCTGTGTCTGATCCAACCATGAAAGTAGAATGGTTCCACAACAATGCACCAGTAAAATCTGGTAAGAAATATTTATATATTATTTCAAGGATGATATTTAAAACACTTTATTCACCAAATTCAACAATCTAATGAATATTTTTCTTATACTTTCTTCATTTTCTTAGGTTCACGTTTCACAGAAACAAATAATTTTGGATTTGTGGCTCTTGATATAACATACTGTTATCCTGAAGACTCTGGTGTTTACATGTGTAGAGCAAGGAATGCTCTTGGGGAAGCTGTTACATCAGCAAACTTGATTTGCCACTGTGAGTTATTTTTTAAGAGTAAAATAACTGTTCTAGAAGAAGCTTACTGCTAAATAAATGATTGCAAATTTTTTAATATTTTCACAATTATAATACTTAAAATATTTAGACTCGTTCGTTAAACACAGCACCTGCAGTATAAACAACATACACACTCACACCCTCCCCCATCCTTTCTGGGGCTGGCACTATTTGTTTTGCTTTTCCAAAGATGTGATCTATATATTGTCTTGTTAATTGCAAATCCAAATAACTTTTTGGTATTATACCATTGCACTCAATCTAATGAACTTCTACAGCTGCAATAGCTTGCATAATGGTAGACCAATGCTAAACCAAGTGGTGTCTCCTTGGAGTTGGCAAGGAACGCTCTGATACCTGATTAATATGTACTAGTTTAATACATTTTACACATAATAAAATTTAAATGACTCTTACTATTTTAGTATTTCATATATTTTTCATCGGTAAATCTAAAATGAACCTTTAATGATAGTGGTACATGCTATACTATACTATAAGTGTTTCATAGGTTTACGACAAAACGACCGTCTGTCTGTCCATCCGTCCTAGAACAATGCTAGCAGTTAATCCGTTGGTAGGAGTTTCACTAAAATTGATATTCCCTAATTGATCTGGTAGATATGATGGTGCTTTGAATTCGAAATTTATTTTGGTTTTGAGGGATACTTTACATGAAGACTCAAAAACATTTTCAAAATTTTCTCAAAAATGACCCCAAATTTTTTTCTCAGACAGAGTAAAGTATACTAATAAAAATGCATCTGGTCTTATTTATTCTCAAAATTATCTCAAATTACAAATTTTTTTTTTACAGCGTCTTTATCTTCTTGATTAAATATATTCTTTAAAATTAGAACTTTAAATAAAGTCATACAATGTTTTCAAAATATGAGTAGTTTTCACATAATTATCTCTGAAATATAGGCAATTTTAAAACAAGATTTTCTCAAAAACGGCCCCAAATGTTTTGTTTAAAATTTTTGATTGGATAGAATTAAAAGCACTAAGTAAATAACATACACATTATTTTGATGTAATTATTTAATGTTTTTAAAACTGCATGTTTGAGTACTATGAATTATTTATTAATATTTTTAATTTGACATATTTTTAATCTCATTTTATAGTATTATGTAACCATTGCAATTAATGCCAGAAAGCATATGCTGTTGTAGTGCCACTAGTTTTGCTACCACTAACATTAAAAAATATATTATTTCAAAATCATTTATAGTGATCCAAGCTGAAATCACCCCTTCCCTCAACCCTCAAAATACTTTGTGAATCTGCCCATCTATAATTTAAATGACACATTTATCATCTTTACTATTGTATTCCACATACATTTGTTTTTTTGGTATGATTCTGCAATATTTCTCTGCTTACTTTTGCAACAGTAGATTTGGCACCAGTGGGGATGTTTTTTCTCTATGAAAAGTGTTGTCTGTAATACCCAGTTGTGCCTGGGTGAAAAAGAAAATAGTACAAAGCCCTTGTGGATCCCTCAATTCACTTCCGATGCTAGTGGTATAGGATCTCATTTTAATTTTAAAAGTACAATCACACTCCAATTTGTCTTTTCTATGAATGTAGCTGCTCTTTTATTATTAGTTACTGCTGCTGCTGCTCTTGTTACACAAAAATTTTTTAATTACTTTCAAATATATTTGAAAATATTGTTGATTCTAAAATTAATACAAGTAAATGAGTATTCACCAGCTTTGTTTAGAACAAATTATGTGAAAATAATATTTAATATGAATGGTTTCTTCCTTTTATAGCTAAGAAATCAATCTATTTGGAGTCACAACACCAAGAAGCTTTAGTACAACTTAATTATTTGGAGGACAGTTCTCGTTACCAACGACAAACTGCTCAAGAAGAAACTGTATCTCAAGCTCCAGTTTTCACTCAGCCTATGAAAGATGTGAAATGTGCTGAAAATCAGGCTGCGCATTTTGAAGCACGTCTTATTCCAGTGGGTGACTCCAAACTTCATGTTGAATGGTTAAGAAATGGCGTACCCATTCAAGCTTGTAAGGGCATATATTTCATAAATGAATAATTGTGATTATTCTAATAATGACAAGAACTTATATGTTTTTTTCAATTTTGTTGCAGCAAATCGTGTTACTACAATGCATGACTTTGGATATGTAGCATTAAACATGAAATATGTTTATCCTGAAGATTCTGGCACATATACTTGCAGAGCTATTAATGAATTGGGGCAAGCAGTCACATCTGCAACACTTGTTGTACATTGTAAGTTTCTCGGAATAACAATGATTATTTATTTATTTGTATGGATGCAGCAACAAGTTTATATACACTATCTCATACAAAGTTGTCGACATTTAATCATATATATTTCACTAAGAACTTAATTTGCCTGACAATAATTGTCTAAACCAGACTTGAAAGACAATCTTGGTATATTAAATTAAAATTTGTAAAACGTAATTTGAAATATTAATTTAATATATTTGAAATATTATTTTAATGCATTCACAAAATATTTCACATTGATAGATGAATAATTTTAATCATTACAAAATATTACAATCAAAGCATTACTTACTCACTATACTGTAATTTTTTTTAGCAAAAGCCTCTTTGCTTCTTGAGAGCCAACATGAAGGTGCTTTGGAAAAGCTCCAAATGCTTGAAGATTCATCTCGCTATCAACGCCGAGAAGAGGAAGAAGTTATTGTTAAACAGCCACCAAAATTCACAGCACAACTTAATGGGCCAACAAATTTGGTGGAAGGGCAAAGTGCTCACTATGAATGTCGCATTGAACCATACCCAGATCCAAACTTAAAAGTGGAGTGGTTTCACAATGGAAAACCTTTACAGACAGGTATTGTACCAATTATAAGATAAATTTCCTTCATGGTAAAGGTTCAAAAATGTTAATTGTATATGTTTTTGCTAGGCCATCGTTTCCGAACAACATATGATTTTGGATTTGCTGCCCTGGATATTCTAACTGTGTATGGAGAAGACTCTGGTGAATATACCTGCAGAGCTACCAATAAACTTGGCCATGCAACTTCATCAATTAAGGTTAATGTGAAATGTAAGTGTATAATGTTTGTCTTAATATTATGTAGCTACTAGGTAAAATAATGTGATGATTAGTAGTGAGAAGTGGGATGATAAAATGCAGTAATTGATTTTGCCAAAGCATTTTAAGTTCTTCCTCATAAACGTCTCAAACAGAAATTGACATATTTGGTTAATGACTCCTGAGTGGTGACATGGATTAGCAAGTTTGGCAAAGATAGTGAGATAGGAGACAGAAAGTCTGAATTAGACAACAGTTACAATATGTGACAAGTGTAACAGTTCGTTTAGCAATCCCAAGAAAGTGTAATCAGGTCTCTTCTAGTCCTAGCATTTGTGAATGATATACCAGCAAACAACATTGTTTGATACTGGCAATTAAAATGCTGGCATATATAAAAATCTTTGAAATTATTATTGTTGATTATTATGATTATTATTGTTGTTGTTGTTAGTAATTTTAAATTGTATTGATTGTTTTTGTTTGCTTTTTATTAACTGCTACCTGGTCAAACCAGTAGCAGTTTATATAAATTTATATCTTAATCTTCAATATAAAAATAATTATTCATTGCTTACTTAACTTTGTAATATTTCACAGCACGGTCGTCTATTATTTTGGATACTCAACATGAAGGAGCCTTGCAGAAAATACAGTATCTTGAAGATGACTCTCGACACAAAAGAACTGCTGCGGAAGATGCTGTCATTTTAGAGAAGCCTCAATTTGGTCGCCCTCTTCGTAACATTGAAAATCTTGCTGAGGGACTCAGTGCTCATTTGGAAGCCACTCTTACACCTGTAAATGATCCTACAATGAAAGTTGAATGGTTCTGCAATGGCAAACCAATCCCTCAAGGTAATACTCTAGATGTAAAACTTATGATGTTGCTTTGGTGTCACTAAGTCATTTTTGCTGACTGCAACACATTACTTTCCAATTACCTTTTCTTAATGTCTTTGTTCTTTTGATTTAACAGGACACCGCTTCAAGACAACTTATGACTTTGGTTTTGTTGCACTTGATATTCTTTATGCTTATGCTGAAGATTCTGGTACTTACATGTGCAAAGCAAGAAATGCAGTTGGTGAAGCAGTTACAACATGCTCTGTGAAAGTGCAAGGTTAGTTAAAGTTTTTCTATTAACAATGGCTTTAAATATGGTGTTATACTTCATTAATTAATTAATAGAAAACATGATTGGCATGAAGATGTGAGCAACAATGTCATGATTTTATAGGGAAAAACCATTTTTATGGGATACATTTCAAAATGAACAACAGTTGATCTATTTGCACAGGCAATAATATAACTTATTTTACTTGCTGAATTTATTAGTATATTATTATTGATGGATTTGTCAACCATGGTAGATTTTGTAATAATTATAGTGGAAAAAATATATTAATATTTTTCAGTGGCAGAAGCAATATTTTTCTAAGGGGGCAATAGGTGTACAGCCACCTAGAAGAATTCTTAAAAATAATTTTTGAAATTCGCTGAATTTAAAATATATGTTTTTGTTGTTTATAATGTAAACAATTAAGATATTGAGTTACTTTCATTACTATAGAAAATTAGAAAAAACTATATTTGTGAATATGTATCATTGGCTTCTAGAGACAGTGGGGGACTGAAGCCATCTTCTGTGGTGCGCCACTGCCATTGTTTTCGAAGACAATGAAATTTTGAAAATTTAATTTTGCATTACTAATTGAATTATAATTTCAGTATACTAACATAGCTACATAGAAAAAAGGAAATAAAGTATTTGTTTTTTTCATTTCTCATACTGATAAGAAGTTATGATCTTATTAAGTGATATGAATTTATGCTAATTAGGATTCATCAATGTTGAGTTTGGAGTTGACAGGAAATGACAAGAAGGAATATAAAGAGAACAAAATCAACCAAATTATAGGACCATTCCTAACCATTTTTCGTGCAATATTGTCATTGAAAACATTTAATACAAGATAATGTACCATAGTTTGATCGTCTGTTGCCAGTGTGCCAGACTAACAGCAGGGTCTAGACTATCAACACAGCTCAGGTGAATTGTCATAACTTTGTGTATGACTTATGGTACACCAATTACTATTGGGTCAATGAAATCCAGCTCTTCAACTCTATCTGGAGATAATGGGCTTGCGTTATTTTTTGATCTCCTGATACTCTCTGGAACCTCCAAGAATGGTAAAGCCTACAATCCCTGCCTGCATCCATCTTGAGAAGATCTTATGAGTTATAATTGCAATGATAGACCTTGGAATCCCATCACATTCTTGTGTTTGGATATTTGGCCAACTGGTATTGTAGACCTACTTCCATCACTGATTCCAAGAAATTCAGTGCATTATGTGTAATATTTCTGATCTGTCATGCTAAATTAATTAATAATTATTCCATATATATTCTGCGCTTGCTGTCATTAGGGTTTGTTCTTTGGCTTGGAATGGTTACAGTCCATTTTCAGTGGCGTAGGGCGACTTTCTTACCTAGGGAAACTGTTGTTTGAATCTCTAGTCATGCAAGTGTGATGCTCCAAGGGTCCATGGATAATTCAAGATATATAATTTTTTAGTTGATGGGCATGTGTAAATTGTGCACAAAATGATATGAAATCACTCTAACAAGTCCTTTCTTGAGACCGCTCTATTCTTTATATATTATACCCTTCTATTATCGTATTAGATAGTTATCGTATTCCGAAGATAAAGTGATATTGTATTTCTGTTAACCTTCAGTCTTTTTGGACTATTATTTACATCCCCATGAACGTAACTCGCTTGTGATATTTTGTTTCGAAAGTAACCCGCCGATGGTCGTCCGCTCTACCGAAGCCAGATGGTCATCCGCTTAATGAAAATAACTGCCTGATGATCACGGGTTTGATTCCAGTTTTTGTTTTTCGAGCGTCGAACATAATAGTTTTTTGGTAATTATGCATGTTCATGTAGTAGCATGTTACTTCCAGATCCAATACTTTGAAGATGGCGATAATTATTAACGTTGCGTAAATTATTGATCAAGCACTACAGCTATCTTCAGTACCAGCAGATATCATTGTCTTTTTTGTGCCACATATGCTGATGTCTCACCTTTTTTGGGACAGTTGCCATGTGATAGTCAATCTGAAACGTGAATACTCTCTTCTGGTTTTGCCTCAGTCTTTTTTTTTTTCGATTATCATTCAGGCAGGAACTGATTCTTCAGTAGGCCTACTGTGGATGTATTATTCCAATGGTCAAGAAATTGTTACAACTTTTCACTGGGTAGTAAATTAGGTCAGATTGTTAGGTTTAGAAGTATTTTATTGCTTGTTCTTATACATTCTTTTTTCAAATTATCGTCGGTGTGGTCGGCTTGCCAGTCGCACTTCATGATTTCTCAGTTTTACTTCTACCATTCTTCCTACTGCTCTACATTCCACAACTCTCAGATTCATCAAACGAATATCCTTGGTGCAGCAACCACTTTCAGTTTAGGTTGTAGAATTTCAACATCCGACATTAAATTTATTGGCTCTTGGGACGTCCGAGTCATCCTCTTTTTACGAGATAATTATTTGGCTTCCTACCATTCTACCAGCGACAACGCCATTCTGAGATTCCTCACATGACGTCCTAACTAGAATCTCACGAGCTTAGGCAATTGAACGAGAAGTGGTTAAGCCACTCGCCTAACGAACGCCTGTTGTGTAGCTACTTTTGTGGAAATTGTGGAGGCAAGTTCGTGGGCACAATATCTTCGGCAGATATCACGAAGGCGCAAACTTTTACACTGTTTAACTCCCAGAAATGTTTCAATTCATATAATACATTTTCATATTTTATTACTTTTTACTGTTTTGGCTAATGCTGTGCGTCAAAGGCATCCTAAAAAATGTAGTTCATTTGAGTCACAGGAGACTTGAAATGTTGGGTCAGCGGGGATATCTACTTCTCTATCTTCTGAATGTTTGTCACTGTAGCAGTCATCTTCATACACTGTCACATTCTCTGGAAGTAGTGGCCTGGTAATTCTTCACATAGCAGATGGTAAATTAGGATACCTATTGCACAGTTTTTGAAGGTGTTTCCAGCTATTTTTGTCAGGCATAAATAACAGCAAAGGGCATGTGTCGTGAACCATTTAACCAGCTTGCCAGGAATGTAACACACGACACACAGCATATATGAGGGAGGGGGATTTCTTGTTCTGGCCACCAAACTTTACTCCCGAAATAAAGTTCTTAACACTTCCTTATAAGAGGATTAAAGTTTTGTTTTGGAGATTTCAGAGTTAATTCTCCACACATATAATGACAGGAATGTGCTCTGTTTATGCAGTTAGAGGCATTTCTTCTTCTGAGTTAATACAAAGCATAAACCATCATGAATCTAGAACAAGCAGTCACATCCAAGCTACTTTCCACGATATCAGATCTCTCAATGCTGAGACGCAACTGGCAAGAAAACAAGGCGATTCTATGAGTTAGACTCACCAAAATCCCCAACGAAAATATGCTGCCAAACCTTTATTTCCTGGAGGTGAATTTTCTGGATTCAGTGTCAAGTATAGGAGCAGTTCCTTGAACACATTTCGATTATTTCTGAATAATTATAACTGCAGAATAATAAAATGAATCTACAACAAAATAACCTAAAACAGCGTGTTCAACCATTTTCGAAGAAACATAATAGCATGTCACAAGAAAACTGAGCCCGATAGAAAAAACTGATTTGATGCTCGAATTCAATGTCCAAGACTCAGCTAACAACACCACTCACATTCTTTGTTACTAAACTGCTGTTGACTAGGGTATTCAGTGAGAATATCGACTATATTAGAGTTCATTAATATTGCACTTAATTATAATTTATTGTTATTGTTAATATACAGCATTTCTCAGCTCTTGGGCGGATCCTAATTCTGTGTATTCTTGACCTACCCAAGGAACTAGGAATCCCAAAAGTTGGTAATACCTGTTCAAGATGTGAACGTGTGCCTAGCAGAGCGGACTTTACAAGTTGCTACACTAACCTTTCATTCGTAAATCTCGAATTCTCATGAAAGTTACTGATAAGTTTTCCCATTTTCTTTTCAGCAAAATCTGGATTATATTTGGATACCCTGGATGAGCAAAGACTGAAGAAAATAAAAGACCTTGAAACCCTTGAACGACCGAAAAAGGTCGAAGCTGAACCGGAAGCCCAGCGGCCAGTCTTTATTACGCCTTTAAACAAGTAATCTTACGTTTGTAACGCTATTTGATTGGCTTTCTCATTAATATATCTTCTGACCATTAAAATATTGTTTTTTTTCTAGTTTGGAGCACTTAAAAGAAGGTGAACATGCTCATCTTGAGTGTCGTGTGGAGCCCATCAATGATGCCAATCTGAAAATCGAATGGTTTGTGAATGGCGTTGCTATTAAAACAGGACATCGCTTCAGAACAACTCATGATTTTGGTTATGTTGCTCTTGATGTACTGTACACATATCCAGAAGATTCAGGCACCTATATGTGCAAAGCAACGAATTTCGTTGGAGAAGCTGTTAACACTTGCACTATTAGCGTTGCAGGTAACAATAATACTACGTTCTATTACACTGTATGATAAGCTGTCTGAGAATTTTTAAGAGTACATTATTTGTATGGTAGGATCATGTACTACAATAATTCAATCTTCACACTTAATATGTGTGAATCAATAGGAAGCCTAGAACGTCATATTTGCTTTTTGTCTGTTGTACATTAAACAGTGAAAATTCCTGTTAGAGAAAAACTTATATTCTAAACAACTTCAATAAAGCTCATTTTTACCCACCATATTTTTTAAAAAATGTGAGAAGACACCCTACACCCTTTAATGTGATGCATTTACTTGGGAAATTACTGAAAATGTCTTTAATGTATTTTTAAACATCTGCAACATTTCAGATCTTCAAGATCTATAGACTAATTATTGCTATGTTATTCAGGATATGTATTTGGATTCTATAAGTTGCTTATGTAAATTCATGGTTTCAGCTCGACGAAGCATTTATCTAGAATCTCAGCATCCAGAGGGATTACAGAAAATTCAGGAACTTGAAGCTCAGGGAAGACCTGGCAGATTAGAAGTCGAAGAGCCTATACCAACTCCTCCACGCTTCATCACTGAATTAAGAGTGAGTTTCATATTACTATTTTCAGAATTGCATTATATTACTTTTGCGTGGCTATGAATGAGAATGAATGAAATATTCGATAACACTATTCTGAATTTCTATATACCACATATATAGGTGTTTCAGAATAACTGTAACAAACTTGTAAAATCTGTCAATGTAAATACAATATCAGATGGAAACAATTCATTTTTTCTCAAATTGCATTAATGAAGTTAAAAGCATACATTATTTATAATGATTATTTTTACTTCAAGCATGTTCTAAAAAATTGATCTTTGAAAAAAAACATGTAATTTTCTTTGTAAGGAGAGTATTTTGCACGTAATTTTTGCTTGAAATTAATGCAATTTTTAAAAACAAAAGATTTCTCATAAACTGCTCTAAATTTTTTGTTTAATTGTTTTCCGTGGATAGAGCAAACAAATCTTAAAAAATGGAGATAGTGTACTTTTCGTTGAACTCTTTGACTTTACAAAAATTGCGTGTTGGAAATAATGAGAGAGACCATTAGCTTTCTAACCGGTAGCGAAAGTATGTGCGGCCGGGCGACTGCGTGATGTAGCAAAGCGCTGGCGAGTTAACTCGATGAAAAAGTTTTGCTGGTTGGAAACACTTTTGCAGGTTCATTTAGTAGTATATTACAGAATCGTGACACATAATGCGAAAAAGTATGTGCTGTTATGGCACCATTAGTTATTATTGCTACAAAATTCCTAAATATTATTTATCATTTATCCAGACCTTAAAAGTATTTATGCTAGTAATTAGATATTAGAACATAAAAGCAACTAATAGTTTTCCGGTTATGACAGCGTGGACTATACAGACATGATAAAAACTTAATTTTTATAAATTATTGATAAGGAAAATTTTGAAAGTGAGCGTTTAACTTTATTTTATCTTTAGCAGATACTAACTTACGTACTTATTACGATAGTTGTTGTTGTTATTATTATTATTATTATTATTATTATTATTATTATTATTATTATTATTATTATCAATTATTATTAGCATTACCCCTCAAATGCACTACTAAAATATTAGGAGTTGGTTAAATGTTAAATATACCCTAGATTGCAGCCAGTTTCCAAAAAACAGATCAGTGACAGTAGGTGTCTACAATACCTTGCACAAAATATCTACTGTTCTCAATAACGCGATGTCTTGTTCTACCCAGTCTTTTAAATGACTTGGAGTTTTAAAATGTTAACTTAGAAGATTTAACTAATTTTTGCGGAAGACATCCCAGAACTCAACTAACTATTGGTGATAACTGTGCTTTTACTCCCCTCATCCTGCTGATCTCAATTACCAAAATCTTGTATTGAAGACGTTCCCCTGACTCCATGGTTAAAATCATAGAATGACACAGCGACATCTGCAAGTAGGTTTTCCTTCAAATGTCAAATAACAATACCCGGTTTCTTTGTAGCTATACGATCAGTATGGATTTGTTGGTCATACAATATTGTACACAGATCAAAAGGTTTTGGTGAATGTTCGTATCACTTGGAGCATGTGTTTGTAACTTTGAGGTCGTTACAGATCTGCCGGAGGCGATAATTATAGAAGCAAACGTGCCTTTTCATGTGTTTTGACTTTGCTAGAATTGAACCAGCTGGGACGATGTGATCAATGGCTTCTACCTGTTCAATTTTTGTGAAAGTTCTGTTAATTTAATTTTTTGGGATTGCTGTAATGTATTCGTAATGTTGAAAGGTTGCTACATGTATTTTCTATTTAATTGCAGGGAACCACAGAATTAGTTGAAGGACAGACTGCTCATTTCGAAGCCCAAGTTGAGCCATTACATGATCCTAACTTGCGCATTGAACTTTATCATAATGGAAAACCATTACCATCAGCTTCGCGCTTCCATATTACCTTCGACTTTGGATACCTAGCTTTAGATATCAGCCACATTGTTCCAGAAGATGCTGGAGAATATTCTGCCAAGGCTATAAATGCTCTTGGACAATGTACATCAACTATCAGTGTTCGTGTCCAAGGTAAGGGTTATTCAAATATTAAACATTTCTAAGTGATTAAGTATATCATTGATGGTCACTGTAGAGCGTCCAAACAATGGGCCCATTTGTCCGATCGCGATATTTCTGCGACTTCGCATTTCTGTTGTTTCTTTGCCGGAAAACGTAAGGAAAATGCATCCTTTACGCCTTTTTTGTTTAAAAATGTCTCCGTATATTTGCAGAGAAATGTGCTTTATGATTTGTTTGCACCGATAACAGGGGGACCAAAATGGGTGGTTTTTTTCCTTTCTGAAAACGAAGTATATTTCAAGTCATCTTGAAACGTTATATGTTGTAAATGAGAAGTGAAGAGAAGAAAATAGAGTAAGGTTTTTGAACTTTTGGGGTGAAAATCTATTTTTATAAATAAAATGGAATGTGCGTACGCGTGTCGCACAGAGATGCAAAAGCTACTCGACCGATTTCGTTGAAGTTTTCACACTTTGTTCTTATTAGTAATGGGAATTTTTGAAGAGTAGTTTGAATTAAAACAGTCATGTAAGGACGTTGTTGTTGATTTACTCGTTTACGACGACTCAAGCGCCCCTGAACTCTACGTAACCCGACGCACAGTGAAGGATTAGGCGATTACTTGAATCTCGCGCAAGTAAATCAAATTTCTCCAAGATAGTGTCATGGCGAACGTTTGCCCAATTTTGAGGGAGAACGTTTTAACAATAGGATACTAGACAACCATTTCCAGAACATAGAACAAACCCATACTTGCGAGAAAGTATTTTATCTACTAGAATTTTGGCATAGCGCAGCTGAAAGTCATTAACAATCACGTGACCTGTAGTGTGTGATATTGAATTCACTGCATTAGCGAAACATTGCTGGGTCCACTAGTTATATATAAATGAATGAAAAACTATTTTATCTTATTTCTCATTTAGTAATGTGAATAAAAAAACGTGAAATGTCTTAATTTTTAAGTTTCTTTTTATCTTCATTTTAGGAAAGAGTAATATCATTTTGGAGTCACAACGACCCGAAGGACTTGAAAAAATCAGACAACTTGAAGAGCATACACCATTTCGACAGCCTGACATTCCAGAACCCACTAGACAGCGTCCTGTATTCACCCAACCTTTGCAAAACATTGATGGAATTGCTGAAGGGCAAACTGCACACTTTGAATGTCGCCTCATTCCTGTTGGAGATCCAACACTTAAAGTTGAATGGTTTAGGAATGAAAAGCCTCTTGAAACAAGTAAGTTTATTCTGTAATAATAGTCACAAAATCGTATAATCTTACATAATATGGCTGTTCTGTGATACACAAAATCATAAATTACACAATATGAATCTATTATCATATACTGAAATGCAAGTAATGCTAAAATATGTCATCTTAAAATATATAGACAATGCCATGATATAGTTTTTATATTGATAGATTTTCTTCAGCAGTAGTGGTACATTCATATGCGAGATGTGGAGCAGTGTTAATGAGATTGATGTTGGTATTACCTTTGTATTGTTAATAGTGTAGAGTTTATTAATATAAAAAATTAGAACTGTAATGCCATACCATTGGACATCCATAGATTACTTCCATATTGAAGTAAAAATTTACATATAAATTCATTTTGTCTTGTGTATTAATAGTCACATATCAATAGGGGGTCAACAATGGACCCTAGCATAGATTTTTTACATTCTTGCCTACCACACACTCATGTAGTAAAGAGCAATTATAATGTCGTGTAATGTAACTTGTTGTGTAATGTAATGTAATATTGTGTAATGTAACTTTCAGGTTCACGGATAACAAAAACTCATGACTTTGGATATGTGGCATTGGACATGACACATGTCCGCGGTGAAGATGAGGGAGTATACATGTGCCGTGCTTCCAACACCTTAGGTGAAGCAGTTACCACCGCATCAATGAAAATTAAAAGTAAGTAATACTATTTTGCATTGAAATTTGCAGGCTGAGAATATGAAAAGTATTTTAAAGAGATGTAATGTCAGAGTTCGTTTCATTCACCATACCAGTTAGTGAATTTGGTATTACAAACCGCTGTTTTTATTAGTGTGATCACTTACCGAGTCTGAAGTTCAGTACTTTCCTTCTTCATGTAAGCACTGCAGAATGGACTCGCGTTTCCTTAATGACGATACTATCCATTATTTACGCAAACCTCATTATACATCCAACAACATGTTTCTAAATTACTCAGTGAGTTCTGTTCTCGTTACCTTTTCGCAAAAGCATATTATAATTGTTAGTGAAGAGTTCATCATGCTGTTTAGTATCTAAACCCTCCTCAGGCCTACTTCTAGGCGATCTAAAGAGTAGATTCGGTGATCCTGATGATCTCTGCAAATATTTTTCTTAAAACTATAAACTACACTGGCAGAAAAAAGTATTGCTACGTACGAGCGATGACGCTGGCGATGAGAGATGGGGATGGGGCCATAGACGCCCTGATTGACAAGTCGCGGATGACCGGCGCCCGGTGGCAAAATGGCGGCGTGGCGAAGAGGATCTGAGGCGCCATCTGCACCACCGCTTTGAAAGACGGTGACTGTCCAATCAGGGACCAGTGTGCCGGAGGAAAGGTCGGGATGCCACGGCATCCTCCTATGCGTCCTTTTCTCCATTGGACGCGTTTGAACGGGCGCGGATTGTCGTCCTGCGCGAAGCCGGATGGTCGTTTCGGCGCATTGCTGACCAAGTGGGCCTGATGCGGTGTGTTTGCTGCGGTGCTGGCGACAATGGCTAGATGAGCATTCCCACGCCCGGAGACCTGGGCGACCGCGGAGCTCCTACGAACGTCAAGAACGGCGCATCGTGAGGGCGGCGTTGGCAGACCATACGGCCAGCCGCGATGAGGGTCATGCGCATGTGGCGTCTCCCCACGCAACGTTGCGAACCGCACCATTACGGTCGCGCACACCGCTAGCGCGTTGGGAACGTCGGGCCCGATGCTATGCGCAGGTCAGCAGGGTGCGACAGTGGTGTTCAGCGATGAGAACCGCTTCTGCCTGCACACCAGTGATTGTGGCGTCGCACGGACGAGCGCGTGCACACAGTGAGGCAGTGCAGGAGGCGTGGAACAGTGTATCTCAGAACAGTATTCGCCACCTACGATCGGATGCCTGTACGCATACGGATTGTCGTGCCGCCCGCGGCAGATTAACGCACTTAATGTGGCGGTTCCGCTCTGTTGCTAGACGCGCGAGGCCCACCTGGCAGTAACGACGTTCTGTCTTCCTGTTCTGTATGTGCTCTATCTGGATGGTGGAATGAATTATACAATGGGATCCGGGTGAGCAGTACTTTTTTCCGCCAGTGTATATTACGCTTGAGGCCTATGTTTTTATTGCTGGAATCTCATGAAAGGCTTTGGCAGGAGTCTTCTGAAAGTTTTCATTTATGGCTGTTAGGATCACAGCGAATTGAAATAACTCCTGCGACGCTTTTCTTCCGAGTAAGACAAGAAAGAATTAGCATCTTCGAATCAGGCGAGAATTGAGATTCTTGCTTTGTCAATTCCCTTCGAAAATCTCATACCGATGTTCAGAGGCAGCTGTTTCTTGCTGCGGTGAGTTTAATAATTTGCGGGAATAGCAACATTATTTAGTTCACGTTTTTTCAGAAAGATCCGTTTGAGAAACATCCCATCACCACCTCATTAGGGGGAAGGGGACAATATTTTCTTTTTAAATACTTTGTATTCTAGGTCAATATTGTTTTTATTTCAATATTTGCCACCAATAGTTACTCCTAGTGACCTGCAGCAGCAAATATGTGCTGAAAAAAAAACGGTTTTCGAAAAAGTAGCTCGCTTACTGCTCAACAACCACAGCAACACTGCAAAAAATAAGTATTTTAACAAAAAATATTCATGAATATCGTGTAGTAGCTTGTTTACACGGATATAGATTACGTCAGTTCTTTACCTACCAATAATATCATAAATATACCAATAATGGCATTCGTAACACAAAACAATTACAAATATTAAGGGCGGACTGCCTCTCCCTTAGAGTCTTCGCAGTCGCATGTCGTAAGCAGTAACAGGCGGATTATGACAAACGGAACGTGCAGTGTTGAAAAATGTAGAATTTTTAGTCAAAATCTAATCTGTTTAATTGTTTTTGGTCTTTTTTTCGAGCTCCTTAGTAACTAACAAAAAACTAAAAAAAGAACATGAGTCACTAACAAAAAACCTTTTAGAAAAAGAAAAAAATGTGTTCAATTGTTTGTGGCGTATTTTCGAGCTCCTGGGTAACTAGCACTGGGCACCTTTTACGTGGCTGGAGACTGCACATTTTTCTTTCAATTTCTGCTCGTAGATAGTATATAAGACAACTAAACAGTTTTTACCAGATGTCTTACTTACAGCAAAAATGTCAAAAATTACATTTGAAGTAAAGGCTACATTTGTTGAAATGTATCTTGTAAGTCACACAGGATGATCTTAATGGCCATCTTTTTGACCAGTTAGATCATCCTCGTAACAAAGAGAAGGATGAGGAGGTGTTGTGTTGTGCTTGTAACTTCTGTGGTTGTTGTAAGAGTTGAACGAGTAATATTAAAATGTATTTTTTACTTTCTAGCAAAAGCCAATATCCAGCTTGAAACGCAGCATCCGGAGGGCATGAAGAAAATTCAACAACTGGAGCAAGGACGTGTTCCAAAAAGGAGTGATGAGCCCGATAAAGCATTCGAGAAGCCTATTTTTACACAAGTGCTTACTGGACCTTCCGAATTATGGGAAAGCCAGAACGCTCATTTTGAATGTCGTGTGGTGCCTGTTGGTGATCCCAGCCTTAGATTTGAGTGGTATGTCAATGGTGTGGAATTAAAAATGGGTAAGTATTGTCACGGTAATAAGACATTTAAAAGAAAATAATTTTAAGTAGTTATTTTTGCTATTGTCAAAAGTGTATTCATTATTATTATCATCATCATTATCATTCTCTTTATCTTAAAAGGCAAGATAATGTACCTCATCTAGAAAGCAATGACAATAATTTTAGTTTTATTTAAACTTAAATTAAGTAAGGTCATAAAACTTGTGATTTATTAAGAACATATCCTCTCTGTAAAATACGCGAAGGAAAAATGTTTTGTACCATTTATAAGAAACCATCGACCCAAAACCCAGTAAGTGTGCTACTGCTAGATAAGGGATTCGCCATGTTCATGGATTAAACAGATTTGAGACGAAGAAACTTTCGCGTATTATTTTTGGGTAACAGCCGGTACCCCTCCTCAATCTGTGTCATGCGCTCCATTGCAGCACAACCTCTACCATCGTGCATAACCCGAAAACAACGCGCCCTAGGCCCGTGATACTACTTTTTTCTACTCCAGAAGGTACATCAGGTGTTTCGTATACTACATAGGGCGTTTCCTACAGAGCAATGAGACTTTTTTGGACGTTCTGTTTTAGTTTGGGAGGGCCCCCTTTTGTACTGTGGTTAGTCAAAAATGTTCGAAGATCGGTTGCAGTATAATGGTGTTTTCACTTCTAAAACAATGATGTACTAAATGCGGACTAACCGGCGTAGGTGGCTCAGGGCATCAACTGAGGTCTGCAGTGACTAGGATCGGGAGGTTCCTGGGTTTGAGTCCCGACGGTGGTAGGATTTTCTACACTAGCTAGATAGCTAGGTTGAATTCAGCCGCTGAGTGGAGGAGAATTCTAGCGGTCGGCTGCTCTGATCGGTAGTTTCCCGTGGTTTCTCCCATTAAAACCAGACTATGTCGGAGGAGTACTCAAACTAACGGACCATGGACCGCGCTCATCTTCCCTCCCCCTTCTTTGTCCTTATCACACTCCTTGTTTTCACACACTTGCATGTACTACCACACAAGTCGGGCGACCAGTCGGAAGCTTAGAGCATGTCCCGGCTGGGGCGGTGCCCCTCGGGTGGGAGATACCAGATTGGGGAAATCCCCGCTTTAAAACTTTGCGCTAAGGACTACCAAACAATTATAACGAAAACAACAAAAAGGCCAAAAATTGCATGTTTTAGGGGGCTAGCAAACATGCCCCAAAGTATTTCGAGGGGAACATAGGATTTGTAACAACATCAATATAAAAAACATACAAAATTAGAGCCTTTCACGTTAGTTTTTAGCCAGGTAAAATGTATCGATTGCTCTGTAGAAGGTTGGAAGGCGCAGAAGAAAAGAGCGTAGAGTACAACAGTCGACGGTAATCTCGATGTTCTGCTCATCGCAGTTTGAACTGCTCTAACTAATAAGCTACAACGACGACCAACCATTTGAACAGTTTATTAGCCTTAGTGGTCTCTGGTGGTCTCATGCAACGGGTCTAAGAAACCTTGCCGTTGTTTGGTTGTCTCGTTGGTAAGAGCAACGAGGTGTAAACCAGTAGACCCGGATTCGATTCCTGATCCGAGTGACAATTCTTTGAAAAAATTAATATTTAAAATACATTTGCTGCATCGTAACGAGGCATAATCATGGGCAACTTTTACTGAGCGGAACGTGCGAGTATTTCTGACGTAGGAATTGCCTCTCCAAATGTTGGATGGAGACAATTGAATAATATTTCTAAGTTTCGATTTGACACTTGTGGTTCATCGTGCCGTCTACCTACGCGGACTAAACTTAAATCAAATAAAGCTATAGAGAGAATTATAATTAACAAAACCATCAGTAAACATGAAATAACCGCAAAAAGTTTAGGATACAGTGACCACGGTGCACAATCTCTTCGAATTGCAAAACACTGGCACATTAGCACGTAGCACGCTTTTATGTACGAATGGATTTTACTCATGCTAAAATAATTGCTCTTGTGCATCAAGGTCGAAAGTGAATGTTTTTGGTCAAGTTGTGTCTCAATCGCGGAGGAGCTTAGCAAAGCTAAGGTTGGCAAATAAGATGTTACTTGGATAATATGACGTTGGTTAAATCACTCTCATAAGAATCCAAATGATTATCATTAGGTCATAATTGACCATCTTCGTGATCTACATAAGACCGATATGGATAGCTAAAAACCTAATAGTTATAAAAATAATAGTAATAGCAAATAAAGCAATAGCCATGAGTGTGGCTTCTTTTGATGTAAAAAATTGTTCCAAAGACATTAGTAGTATTTTAAAAATATATGCATATTTAAATATCTCAACAAAATTGTATTTTTTACAGGATCTCGTTTCCATGTTACACATGATTTTGGATTTGTCACTTTGGACATTTCTAAAGTTGTAACTGAAGATTCTGGAGTGTACATGTGCAAAGCAATTAATAATGCAGGTGAAGCCGTATCGTCTACTTCTATGAAAGTAAAATGTAAGTAGGTGTGGGGTTTCTTGAATTATTACAAATCAGAAAAACATATAAAATATTTTTGTGGAGAAGTAAAGAGACGACAAAGCATAATCGTATTGATTATCAAACACATGGAAACTCGCTATAAGCAAAACATACTACATTGCTCTTCGCATATCAAAGCGCCGCCGCGAAATATTCCCTTATTTATGAACTGAAGAACATTGTAGCATGTTCATTTCTAGAGACACGTTGTTTTATTGAAACAAAATTAATTAATGTTTATAAAACAGACGTTTAAAAGTTTTGCAAGAGGCGTGATTTCACAATGATATTGTGGACGTATGTCCTGTGAGACCGCCCCGTGTGTAAGATCTATTATCGACTCGGAGAAGCTTACCAGTATTCATTTTGTAAATTTCCTTACAATATATGTCTGTTAAAATAATGTCAAATATTGAAGTGCGGCCAGATGAACAATGTTTTGTTTTATTTTATTTCTTTTGAAAAGGTTTACTCAGCATGCATAATATAGAATGTAGTCCTTTTTCGTCACACAATACATTTTTATTTGCCTTTTAAAACTCGTACCCAAGAAATGAACTAAACAACTTTTATTTTTTACTGATCTCGGGCGACAAAAAGGCCTCGGACCAAAGGTCCTCTGGCCTTTTTCGCCACTCAATCTTTAGAACCATTATAACTCCCTTGGTGCATAAATATTTTTTTCAAGTCACTATAATGAACTTACTAAATTGTATTGGAAATTTATGATCCGTAAATGTGACCGTAATGTTGACACTTTTTAGCCAAGTCATCTATCGTGGGTGAACCTATGCAGCCTGATGCATGGCAAAAAATCCAGCTGAAAGAAGCAGAAATGAATAAGGTGCCGGAAATGTTCGTTGACACTTCTCCACAGCAAGCACCAGTTTTTACCACTCATCTGGTGAGCCATGAAAAGCTCGTGGAGGGTCAGCACATATTACTGGAGGCTCAAGTTGAACCGCGAGCCGACCCTAATCTACGGATCGAATGGTTCAAGAATGGTGTTGCACTTACAACTGGTAAGTAATCTCCTATATTTTTTATAAAATATCATTTTCAATGAGATACTACATGTATTCATTTGCACTTTCTCTTCTCACTTCGTAAGAAGCTATCCCTTCGGCCAGGGGCTCAGCGCCATTAATAACTAGGGTTCTCAGACGGTCACCCGCCTAGGAATCCTTGGTGTCTCGAATTACTTAACTTCCTTGAGTTCACGGAGTGTAATTAGGCATTTTGGCTAATGACCCCCGCCGGCATGAGCTATGAGCCCCTCAGGTTGGCTCACGTTCAGCTCGTGGGCTATTCTTTCTACACACGTATTTATTTCGCAAAAGATTATTTTCCTTCACGAAACAAATGTTTTTGTGAAATAAGAGAATATCCTCATTGGATTGGTAGAATGCCCCCCTCCCCTTCCACGATGGTCTCGGGGATACTGATCACTGTGTCATTATATATCATCTCACTTTGGTGTTTTATATTTGTAGGTACCCGCATTCGAAGTACGTTTGATTTTGGGCTTGTAACCCTGAATATTAATGGGTTACGAGCTGATGATTCTGCTATCTATACATGCAGAGCATATAACCTTCTTGGAGAAGCTGTTTCTACATGCACAATTAAAGTTGAAGGTAAAAATAATCAATACCTTTACATAATAAAAATATATGATACATCATATACATGTGTTTGTACATTTTTTATTTATATTCATAATCACTGTTCTATACAACAATAATATTTTTCTTTTGCTTTGTAGATCGACATTGGTTGCTTGGTAGCTCTCTGCGTCCTGAAGCTTTACCTCAGATCGAAGCTCTTGAGCAACCCAAAGTATTTCAAACAGATGCTCCTGAGCCTGTTTATGAATCACCAGTATTTATTACCCACTTGAATAACATTGAGTGCCAGGAAGGTGAATCTGTTCATTTTGAATGTCGGGTGGAGCCATCAAAAGATCCAACACTAAATATTGGTAAGAAACAATCCTGCAAGGCAAAATACTGAACTGTGCACTAATGAATAGCAAGTTTTTACTTTTAGTAATTAAATTTTAAATCCACATGACTTCCAGAATGCCCATATTTTACTTGGGAGTGGGTGAGAAAGGAAATCATAAATGGATTGGTATTTAAGTAGCTTGATTCCAGCAATAACCTTGGATTATTACAGGGCATTGTTCTTTGTTTTGATATGTTTTACTACACATAAAGTGCAATATTTTACAAAGCTAAAATATATTTTTATTCTTTCTTTATTCGTATAACTTTATGCACACAACATAAAAATGTGTTCCACACACAGCCATTTCAAAACATTTAAAGACATTCCTTACCTTCTTATTCCACTACAGTCTTTGGACCAGAAAATTTCTGTACATATGGAAGTAGAAATATGATTTAATCCTGATCTTAGACAGAAAAATACTATTCTGTTAATGGAGTTAATGTAGGGTACCTCTGCCACTCAAAAACTGTAAAAGAAAGTTACCAATAACATTAACTAACCCAGAAGACAAATTACTTGCCATTATAATGTCATGGATCAAATAAAAGAAATATTTATTGACATGTTTTCTCTGTACAAAAGGCACACATCAATATGATGATACAAAGGTGTTACAAAAGTTTATAGACGTATTCACTTAATCTGGAGATTTAAACCAAAAATACAATTCCAAAATTACACACAGATTGTTTACAGTCATGGACACCTACAATTCAAACAAAAAGGAGAAACAAAAAACAAAAAGACAAAAGGAATAACATTTTTATAACATTAACAATGAAGAATAACGAATGGATTTAATTTGTATTGTCGTTGATGCATATCCTCACTATTCTTCTGAAATTTTGAAGAATAAAGTTTCTTTGTGGAAGAGATTCTCTCAATAAATCCTTCTTAAAGAAGCTTGATAACCAGATTATAAACGAGTAGACACATTAATGAATTAAAGAGATTTATTATATTTTTTATTTCTATTCTATGTATGTATAAAGTACACACTGCTTTGTACAAATACCCAAAAGAAATTAGCTTTATTTGGAGATAATATTTGATTGATGAAATATATAGCCTTTGTTGATGCATGACTTACTTTAATAATATTCTGCCAGTATCAATATAATTTTACATTTATACTCTTTTTTTTTACTTTCAATTAATAGAGTGGTTTGTCAATGGTAAACCATTACCCATGGGAGCTAGATTTAAGTCAACTTATGACTTTGGGTATGTAGCTTTGGATATCAATCATGCATATGCTGAAGACTCTGGAGTTTATATGTGCAAAGCAACAAATTCCAAAGGACAAGCTTCTACATCTGGAACTCTCAAATGCACAAGTGAGATAATAATATATTTTATTAAAATATAGTAATATAAAATATTCTTTAAATTGTTTTTATTGAAACAGAATTGTAATTGTCTTCAATGCATTGTTATATCTCAGGTAAACAAAATATCTATCTTGACACCCAACATCCTCAAGGAAAGGCTGGCTTAGAGAAAGTCGAAGAGGTTGATGAAGCTTATGCTGCACGTTTGCAGCGTGAGGGATCTCGTCCAGAACAAGAGTTCCCCAAACCAATTTTCATTGTTCCCCTGCATCCAGAATTCTCTCTGGGAGAAAATGAAGCTTTACATCTTGAGTGCCAAGTTGAGCCAAAAGAGGATCCAAACCTGAAAGTAGAATGGTATTTCAATGGGAAAAATCTTGAACATGGTAAGTTAAAATTAAATAATAATGATAAATTTAATAAATGTAGTACATGCAAAATTTGAGTTTCAGCAAGGAAACATAGTAATATGATATATATTATTTGTTTTATTTGATGATATTTATATAATATCAGTATATAGATAGATAGATATAGACATATAGTATTAACCAAATAAAACAAATTTTTGTAACACAATCGCGATTATTTGGTCCCTTGGAATTCATGTTAACATGAGGTTATTGTATTTCAATACATGCTGAACGAAGAAGATATTAATTATATAAATTTTATAACCTGTATAATCTTCTTAAGGAAAAGTAATCAACAGAGAAGTTTATCTGAATGTTTTGTTTCCTTAGGTTCAAGGTTTAAAATGACATGCGACTTCGGATTTGTTACTTTGGATCTCACTGATGTTTATGAAAGAGATCAAGGAATTTATACCTGCAAAGCTCATAACAAACAAGGAGAAGCATTTACATCAACTACAGTGTATTGTAAAAGTAAGTTAAATCGGTGTTAAGTTAAAGTGTACCTGAAATTACTTTTGGTTGATTCTGATGGACTGTGATATTCATTCCCATAAGCATTTACACAGAGAGAAAACATAAAATCAAAACATTAACTTCTTAACATTAACTGTTCTTGTCCTTGGAACATATCAAAACAACACCTTCCAGTAACTCCCCACCATATTTTTATGGCTTGTTATTGCCTCCTCGGTCATCACAACATTTTGCATGTGAAACAATGTGGCAGAAAACATTACTTTTTGAATTCTTTTGGTGGTCTGATATCACTCATTAAAAGTTGCCTGGATTCATGTGACAAAAATATGTTTAATTATCAAGGGAGTGAAGAATCGTTTAGAATGTGATGCTTGACATATCAGTGATATAAATCATATGATTAACTGCCAAATTTAGTGCCATTGCAGCCATTTAGTGTAATTTAATTAAAAAAGAAAATCTTTATACGTAAGATACCCTTTTTTATTCTGCTTTATAATTTAATAAGAGAAAAAAAAGTACTTGAAAAAAAATTAATAGATTTCTTGTTTTCTGTGTCTCAAAACTTCTTTCTTAAGTCTGAATCATAAAAGTGATAACAGCAGTATTGGATAAGGAGCTATTGTGTTGAAAATCTGTAACTTTCTGGTGGCTGCTATTACATGTATTACTCATGTTTTAGGTAAATCAAATCTTATTGAGCATACACAACACCCTAAGGGAGCAGAAGGTTTGGAGAAGATACAAGATCTGGAAGAGTCATTGAGAAGACAAGAAGGTGTTCTTCCAGATGGTGAAGAAGGTCATCCACCAGTTTTTACTTCTCAGGTAGGTTTATCAAAATTAAAATTTCATTATCTCTTGCTACATATGTAATGGTAGCATGATAGTAATTTAGCACTTGGGCCTTATTACTTTATGGCCCTTATTACTTAATCCAAGAGAGGTCATATCTGGCCTACAAACATAACTGGTAACCTGGGAGAAAATGGACCCTGGGAGAGAATGTTTCATAGCATAGATGTCCTCTAACATCATGAACTAACATAATTTGATATTTAAGTGACTGTTACATCCTGGCATTCATTTATAAAGTATTATTTTATTTAAAATTATTAATATATATTTATAGAACTTGCTGAAGCATAAAGTTATTATTTTTTTCTTTCATACAACGCAGAAGAAGTGCATTAATGTTTATACATAATAAATGATAATTTGAGAATGCATCTGTTAAGTTCAGTAATACCTTTTAACAACCAATTTTTGTAAGCAAACAATAAATGTAATTTGCATACTACTGTTTTCTTGCTCTTTTCACATTTATAGAATACTTTGCAATCCAAATTTCTTCTCAAACAAATTTCAATCTCATCTTGCTAGTTTTGTTTCTGGAAACTTCAGCTTATTGTTTTTGTTTTGACAGCAAATATTGTGCTATTTTAGGAATTGACTCTTGTGGCAATTCTCTTAGTATTTATCTCAGAATAAACCAAGGGTGAATCCGATGCAAACTTCCATCTGCAATTTGCTGGTCAGCTTTGCTTGTATAGTCTAACATACGAGGGGCTTGTGAACTTTACATTTCCAGAGACACCTATGAGATACAAATAATTTCTGAGAAATGATAAATAGCCTACAATAAAGTGCTGAGAAATAGATTTTTGAGATAAAATATTTAGGAAAAGATATTGAAAGCACAAAGGTATAAAATATCTTGAAACAAAATTGCATGGGGTCCAAATTTTTTTATGCAATTCCTTGTGGGTTAACAGAGAACTTCAGACAATTTATCTAGGTGACAATTTATCTAGGTGACAATTTATCTAGGTTATAAATTTATGTATGTGAAAGAGAACTGAAATATTTTTTTCTTATTAATCAATATTGGAACTTACTTTCATGAACTCAAATGGCAAAATATAGGGACAAGGGAATCTACGGTGACAGAGATGATCTTGATGATTCTGACTGACTTACTACAGCAAGAATGTGTAATGGAAGATCAATCATGTTAATTTTCCCAATTTTCCTTCAAATTGCAAGAACCGAAGCAATGTTCATAAGAAAGAATGTTTTAGTGTATAAATGGCTTCTAGTCTGTGTTTTTGTACAGATGATATCTTATTGCATATTATGCTAGTAACCAGAAGTTGAAGGAGATTACTTGGGCCATTGGATGTTTTAGGGATAGGGAATAAAATACAACTTAATTAAACAATTAATATAAAAGATACAAATACATTTTTAAAATCCTAAGTTTTAATTTCTCTTATGTTTTACCAGTTCCAAAATCTCAAGAATCTCAGTGAAGGAGAAATAGCCCATTTTGAAGCATCATTAACTCCTGTTGGTGATCAGACTATGACTGTTGAGTGGTTTTACAATGGAGAGGCACTGAAAGCCAGTAAGTATTCAAAATAATAGTAATTTTCTCTGATTTAACTTTTTAATGTCTCTGATTTTTATTTTACTGTAATAATACAATGTAAATATTATTACAGGTCATCGCACCAGAACTGTGCATGCGTTTGGCATGGTAGTTTTAGAAATTCTTGGGACAAAGATTGAAGATTCTGGAAATTATACATGCCGTGCCACTAATAAATGGGGTCGTGCTGAGATAAGTGTTGAACTTGAATGTGTGGAAAAATCAAAGGGTCAGAAGCCACGGTTCACTACACAAATTCAGGTAGTAGAATTCAAATTAAAAATGTTCAATTTTTTCAACAAGTGTATTTTATGTTTCTTTTCATTGCATTTCAGAGTCTGGAGGGTCTGAAGGATGGTGATTCTGCACATTTCGAGTGTACTCTTACTCCTGTGGGTGATCCTCATTTGAAAGTAGAATGGTTTCATAATGGACAGCCTTTGAGACATTCCAGCCGCATTAAGACTGTGTCTGATTTTGGTTTTGTTGTTCTTGATATAGCATATGTACAAAGTCATGATTCTGGAGAATATGTTTGTAGAGCAAGCAATAAGTAAGTACACTATTTGTCATTTTATTAGCTATTAGATTGAAGAGCAAGTTATAAATATGCTATAAAAATTGAAATAATTTATGAAGTTTAAATATGTTTTGTTGAAGATTGTATTGTCCTTATAGTCTAATCTTCAAATATGCTTTACAAAGAGTTGACAATTCAGTCTTGCTTAAGATCGTCCTACACATAAATAAAGATAAACATTTTCCCAATTAAGTATAAAATAGTTTTTAACCACTTTGATTCTGTTTATGCTGCATTTACAAAGTACCTTTTATTACAAGTAGATTTGATTGTAGCATTTGAGAAATAATAATTTTTTTTCCATTTGTTATTTGTGACCAATGTTATCACTTGGGACTAGAAATGATTCTATGACAACCATGATCTAGTTAATTTTATAAAGTATATTTGAAAGAAAATAGTCAAGGAATAATTAAAAGTAAACTATTCTTATACATATGGTCAATATGAGATAAATAATTATTTACAAAATTCAGAATCTAATAAAGTGTTTGTCCTGACACTACTGCAGTTGCTCTGAAAGTAATTAATGCAGTAAAGAAACAAATTCAAATGTTGATGATAATGATACAATGAAACTCTCAGTGACCACCTTTTCTGGGAACAGGCACTGAAACCTATAAAATGTATGTAAATCATACCCCTGTTAACAGACCACTGCTCATACTTACTGCTGACAAGCTAATTAATGGCAATTTTCATTAAAATAAAATAGGAACATTCCTTAGCATCTGATGACGGGTAACAATATACTATGTTCAGTAAATAAATCCATTATTATTAATAATACCTTCAAGGCTTGATAGATATGGAAAGACTACATTGTTTTATTAAAAAAATACATTGTTAAAAAAATGATTCCTTATATTAAGTAACCATTCCTCTAAAAAACAATTTTTAATGGAAACAACTGTGGTTGCTTGCTACCGATTTCCCTGTACAATGTTGGAAACGTGTGAAAGTGTAATAATACTTGTGTGTTGGGCATTCTCTTCATAATGCCTAATCTGGAAATACCATCCTTTGTAAAAGATCATGCTTTGTTAGCCCTCTTTGAAATGTAATTTATCATGGTACGGGGAAAAGAGAATGAGAATAATGATATAGACCAACAACAATATTGATCAGAAATGCGTTTTTATTTCTTGTTATTTCTGTTCTTTATTAGATATGGAGAAGATTTTACTAAGGCTACTATTAAATGTCAAGGAAAAGGAGGAGTTTACTTTGATACCTTGCAACCTGATTCTCTTGCACGGATACGTGAACTTGAAACATCTCAAGGGAGTCAGATGGCCACTCCTACTTCTCCTGTTCTTGAGCCACCTGTGTTCACTACACATATATCAGATGTCACACAACTTGTTGAAGGACAAAGTGCTCACTTTGAGGCCAGACTTACTCCTGTCAATGATCCTAACTTGACGGTTTGTAAAGAATGAATTTAGAAATTCTTTGATTATTTATTGATATTTCTTCTAATACAAGTTTTATTACAGGTTGAATGGTTTTACAATGGAAAGAAACTTCCTCATGGTCATCGTTATCGTACATTCCATGATTTTGGCATTGTCATTCTTGACATATTGTATTGTTATGAAGAGAACTCTGGTGTGTACGAATGCAGAGCTGTTAATAAAGTGGGTCAAGATGTAACCAAAGCAACTCTGAAATGTGTATCTAAAGCCAATCTTATATTGGATTCTCAGTTACCTCAGGTTGTTAAAAATTATTGGAATTATTAATTATCAGATCTACTCAGTTTTATATGGTTATTTTTTATATATTTTTTATTTAATTATTAAAGGGCATGGAGGGAGGACTAGAAAAGATTCAAACTTTAGAAGATTCCCTGATTCGCAATCAAGATGAAAAAGTGTCCGAAGTAAAAGGGCAGGCTCCTATGTTTACAGTTCCTCTATCTAATATTGACAGCTTAAGAGAAGGAGAAAATGCTCACTTTGAAGCTCGTTTGATTCCAACTGACGACCCCAAACTAAAGGTTTGAATTCATATTACATTGGCTATGAACAACTTGAAATTTCAAAAATGGTTATTACTTATTTACACATTTTCATGGAAATAAAGTTTTGTCTTCTTTTCTTTGTAATTTTTTAGGTTGAATGGTTTTGGAATGGAAAACCTTTGAAGACTGGATCCAGATTTCGTACTTTTTGTGATTTTGGATTTGTTATACTTGAAATCTCTCCTGTATATCCAGAAGATTCAGGAGAATATTCTTGTCGAGCTTTCAATGATTTTGGACAAGCTGTTACTACTGCTACTATGCGAGTACAAGGTACAAACATGTGATTCATTTATTTCAAACACTTTTATCAGAACCTTACATGATTATCTTTTTGATCCTCTGAAAAATTAATTTATAGATTGCTCTACGTCTTCTTATGGTGCGTTTAATATATGCAAGTTTTAAACAGTTTCAGTCTCATAGGCAAGCCAGTGATATTGACATATTTCATACTATTTCACAAAGAAATATAGTATGTAGATTATATATAATTTTCTTTGTTAGTGGAGATCTTACATTGAAGATTATGAATTTAATTTGAAATGAAGATTGCATATTTTTTAAGTCTCTTTTCTGTTTTCAAAAATACAGTGGTTGTATACTATACACAGCTTGCAAAATGTTTAGAATTACAATTTTTTGGAGTATTAAAAATCCATCCTCTCCATACATTTGTATGAAAAGTTAATTTGGGAATATAATAGCTGTTACCATATTTCTGCATTTCAGGAAAGCGTAGTATAATACTTGAATCTCAGCTACCTAAGGGCATGGAACATACAATAGAAAAAATTGCAGAGTTGGAAGGTCTTGGCCTTGCTCCTGATCAACCATCAGCTGATGAAGATGTTGGAAGACCACCTGAATTTATTACAACACCTGTGGATCTTACCTTGACAGAAAACTCTCTTGCTCATTTTGAATGTCGTTTGACTCCTGTGAATGACTCGAGTATGCGAGTTGAATGGTTTCATAACGGAAAAGCTCTCTCTGCAGGTTCAAGAATAAAAACTATTAATGACTTTGGTTTTGTTATTTTGGAAGTAGCAGGAGTGTACCAAAGAGATTCAGGTCTCTACACTTGTAAGGTGAGGTTCTGTAACAATATGTCAGTTGTAGCTATATAAATATACATTCAAAGGAAATAATATTAATATTTCGCTCTAGGCCACTAATCGTCATGGAGAAGCAACTGTGTCCTGTAAGTTACAAGTAAGAGGTCGACAAGGCATAATTTTGGAGCCTCAACTGCCATCAAATTTCCGTACTGGTACAGAAAGTATTCAGAAACTGGAGGAGAATTTGTACAAGAAAGATGAAATTCTTGCTGAAGAAGAAAAACCAAATCCTCCTAAATTTATTGTGGAACTAAAGGTATGTTCTGGAGTATTGTAATTAATAATTTTTTCAAATAATAGTTTTCAAGGTTTTCTGTCTTTTTTCTGCATGCTTTCTCGAAATTCAAGAAAAATGTACTTGTAATGGTATTTCATGTGAGGATATAGGCACATAGTAAAAGAAAAAAAAAATTACCTGTAAAAATGATTAATTGTGACAATTGTATCAGTTGTATTAATTTATAAATTGTGAATCATTTCCGTTTGATTATTAAAATGATGGAATTTATGACTTCCATCTTTCAAGAAGCAGTGGCCCTTCGCTACGCGTGCTCAACGACGAAGGCTCCGGGCTTCGACCTACGCGATTAACATAAAACGCCCTTGAGCCTATCCAACACAATTTCAAATGCATTATATGCCAAAGTACTTTTTACCGTGCACTTTTAACTCGACATTTTGAACCTTTTCTACGCATGTCAGTGCTGGGTGGCAGGGCTCCGGGCTTCGGCCTACGCGATTAATATAAAATATAATTTTACTTGTGCTATGCATAGTTTCCAATTGTGATTCAAACTATACAAACAGAATACGATTTTCATACGAATTATGAAAACAGGAAGCCCTCCTTTACGCCACTCTTTCTTAGCTTTCCTTCACCGGTCTCGCGACGTCGGAATTGACTCGTTACAATAAAGTTTAAGACCCAGCTACTCTAAATTTTCCACTTCGAATTACATCTTGAAAAGTTTTAGTAGCTAAATAACCACGAAATTTAGGGCATTTTTTGTAAAGTATGTGAAACGGCAAAGGAATTATTCATTGCTGCATTATGCATTGCATATGAGTGTGGTGTTTTTACTACTTAAATTAACTCATATCCATATATATATA